TTTTGTAAATGTAACTTAATTTTTAACTAAATTAATATTAAAAGAAAAAAAAAATATGTTTTTGAATAAGTATAATTATTTACAAACAAAACTTAAAAGATAGATCAATAAAAATATACATATAAAACTAAATACATACCTCTTTCATTTGTAGATGTAGTTATGTATTTTCACTGCCCATTATAACTTCTTAAATTGCATTTTTGGTAAGGGTAGTTCCTTCCCTTTAATAGAGGGAAAATCTTATTGCCTATTCTAGATATAGAAGACTTTATTTAGAATTTGACTATTGTACCCTCCTCCACTTTGAAACTCATGTTGTGGGACAGAATAATAAAAACTGCTATTCAACAAAAACTTAGAAAATCAAACACATTTAATTACATTTTCATTACATTAAAATAAATACCAACTTTAAAACTTAAGATAAAGATTTATTTAAATTTAAACTTACAATATATGATAAGCTATGAGACTATATAATTAATATAATTAAAACAACAATCACATAAATATTGTTATTTAATATTTAAATAATTAGGAACTAAAAAAGTGAATTTGAAAAATTTTTTAAAGGTAAATTTAACTTAATAAAATCTAACATGAATATCATCACTAGACAATAACACTGTACTAAATAATTAGATTAATGTAAAACATGTTTGAGTATCTAACAAAAAAAAGCAATAAAAAATAAAAAACAACTTACTTATATCTAAAATATGCTCATCTTCAGCTTCCATAAAATTAACAGCTTGTTGAGGAACAATTTCTACACATCACCCACAAAACAGAACATGTTTCATTAACTAAAATATTAAAAAGTCAAACTTTAGTAGCTATAAAAACAGGTTGAAAATTAAAAAGTACAATTATAAATAGAATTCATAAATAAAAGTATATTCAATTAACATATTTTTACAATAATGATTAAAAAGATATTCAAAGATATTTAGAGATTCATGAATGAAAAAAAAAAAAGCAATTTAAATACTTATCGCATGCACATCTACAGTGCCTCGTGCATCTCATTTTATTTTAATCACCACAGTAATTGATGCGCTCTCGGTTAAGAATGTTTAACAGGGGCGTTGATAAATAGCTGTAAATCTCTAAAGTTCCTTATTATGCTAATATTAAATAGTTTAACTTTTAATTATTTTTAGAAACAATAAATTTTATAAAGTAATTTAGTTTTCATTTAAAATTAAAATTTTTAATTATGCTCTAAATAAAAATATACTTTTTAAACCCCCTTACCATTTTTAAAAAAAGTTAAGGTCGCCGCGTGGCAAGTTCATCAGCTTGCCACGCGGTTTTGTTGTTTAAAATGCAAATCAAAAGTTATAGATTTTATATTCTATATATAAACATATTTTTTACTAATTTTTCTTGCTCAATTTAGTTGTAAATAAACTTGAAAAGTTTAACTAAAATAACATGAGTATTTCAATAATGACACATGCGCAAAAAAAATAAAAAAAAGTCGCCGATGGTAGGACTTGAACCACGTCTAACTTGGTTAGAAGCCCAGCGCGCTAACCACTCTACTATGCTGTCACGTTGAGAACTGTAGATTTTAAATTATATAAAAATTGTTTTTAATGGATATAAACACAAAAGATTAGAAATTAAGCAAACGTTGACAAAATGCAGTTCTTAAGTGAAAATCAAACTGTTGAACTTGATATATGTTTAAGCATGTTTTAACATTACATAACATGAAGTTTAGGTACGTACGATATGAGTTTCACGTTTGCTCACGTTTTCTTATAAAGCAAAGGTAAGACTCTTTCTCTTCACTACCTCGGATGCAATGGTTGCCAAGAGTATCGTGTCAAACAGGCTCGAAAGCGCACTACTACTACTACTATTAAGTCCAGATATTATAAAGAGATTTATTAATACTATTTATATTCTTTCAAGAAATTGTTCTTGAAAAGTATGACATTACTAAACAAAAGTTTTTATTTTACTAAAAAAGTTTCAGATTGCAAATTAAATCACAATAAACAGCGTGCAAAAGTATAATTTTGCTGGGGTCGGGTTTGCAAAAAGTCTAACTTTTAGCCAGGGCCAGTCATCAAGTTAGTTTATTAATTTACATGGTTTGTTTTAACATTTTTAATTAATCAAAACATTTTTAAAGTCATTTAAATGTGTGAACAAAATAAAGAAAAGGTATTAAAATTTTTTTTTTGAGTCTATCTAGTTTTTATTATACTTTTTTTATAGTCATATATATATATATATATATATATATATATATATATATATATATATATATATATATATATATATATATATATAGTCCTAACTCCAGCTAATTTTATTTGTAAGTTTAAGAAAAATGTGAATAAAAAGTATTTTTTAAAAACAAATCAATCAAATTTCTTCAAACTGCCGAGGCAATATAGAGAATCTTCAATAGCATATCGAGGACCTAAGTTATGGGAATTCTTTTCAAAAAAATAATGCAAATATTGTAAAATTATTTAAAGCATTTAAATTTAAAGGAAAAAAAATAATTTTTAATTTTGCAGAATAATAATTAGAAAAAATTTTTTTAAATTTATTCGAATGAATTTTACTTATTATTCTTAATAACTACAAATGATATGTGTCTTTGTATTAATTATTAAATATTTTTGTATACAGGCCTTCTCGTAAGAGGCATGCAATCGTACGCCTTATATGACCACGCATATAGTTTTTTGTTTTAACAACTTGACCACGGCTCTTTGCAAGTTTTGATAATTAGCATGTTTAAAAAATGCGTTAAAAAAAAAAAAATTTAATTGATTCCATAATTACAATTAAACTCCCAAAAAATTTCCTGAGTGCTAAAGTACTCAGAATGTTTTAATTAAGTTGCATTAAAATGCAACTTAATTAAAAGTAATCATTGAAAAAAATATTCAGATTAGAGTTTAAGGCAGAATGAGTACTATCAAAGAATAATTACAAACCCATTTTATCATTGAAATATAATTTCTAATTAAGAAATTATTTACAAATAAAAAAAAGGATTACAATAATCTGGAAACAATCGTATCTGCCAACTATTTTTTATTCCAGGGCGTGACATATCGTTTTTTTTTAATGAACATTGACTTGCGTATCTTTATTTATTGACAAATGTCTAATCTAAGAGATATATGTCAAATAAAGTTCAAATAATTTTTATTCTAGTTAATAAAATATTTAATTTATCAAAGATGCTTGGTAAATTTATTCAATTTTTATTTTTCAAAAACCTTTTTTTTACACATTTGCAAAGTGCGTGCAAATTAATAATAAATGCACAATAAATAAAGATTTTAAAAGTGCAAAAGTTTTAATATGCAAACAAATATTATTTCACTTTATGGAAAATAAAAAAATCTAAAAAAAAGCATGCAAAACTTTATTTGTAATGAATACATTTGCTTTAAACTTTTAATGTAATTGCTAAAAGCATAAAAGAAATTATCGTTAAATGTTATGTCGCTTTTCTCAATAAAAGAAAGCAATCAAAATGTTTGAGCATGGTTTCTTTTGAAATTTTTGCAAAAGCATTCATTTTAAGTAAAATTATGTATGCGTTTGTGTGCGCATGCAAAAACCATGCTAAAACATAATTACTTTTTCTACAGCGTATTTAGTTATTTTACTTAAAAGTGACGCTATCGAAAAAAGTAATTATGTTTTGGCATTAGTTTAAGTCTGTGAAATTAATTGTTTTTCATATTAAATATGTGTTTTTTATAATAAATAAAAAACTAATAATCACAAAATTATTTTGAAAAAAATTGCTGAAGTGATAGGTTCATTTTGAAAAATCCTAATCAAACGGCAACGTTTGCATAAACAAAATTAAAGAAACGTGATGTTTGTTTTTCTGTCTTTTACGAAATGCGCGCACATTTGTCGATTTGTCGCAGCCTGTATGCTATTAATTTTTAATAAAATTTTAAACTTGCACCACAAAATTTTATTGAATTTCATGGCACTTTTAAACAGCTTAAGTTACTACTTAAAATCTGAGGGGGGGGGACCCTTTCCCTCACAATGGATTCGCCCTTGTATTGGCCTAATTATTTAGGGGAAGGAATGATAAAGATTATTAGAGCTGTGATAATTTTTTTTTTTTTACTTTTCGTTTACAATTAAGTTTACATTAATTAATAAATGTTTTGATTTTTTTTCTTGGTTTTTTCCTTTATTTATTTTATCATTCTTTGACATTTTATTTTTTTAGGTAAATTTTTGTAATATATATTATTTTAGGGATTTGTTTATTTTTATTTTTATTTGCTTTGTTTTTTTAGCGCATTTTTTAAACGCGCTAGTTATCAAAACTTGCAATGAGCTGTGGTCAAGTTGTTAAAACAAAGAACTTTATGCGTGGTCATATAAGTTGTGCGATCGCATGCCTCTTACGAGAAGGCCTGGTGTATATGTTTGTATATATTTCTGAATCTTTAAATATCTAAATTTGCAATATAGTTATTGCAAAATATCTTTGTAATTAAAAAAATAATTTACTATCTTATTATATCTTTAGTTTATTTTATATTTTTTTATTTTATTACTTTTATATTTTTAATAGATAGCTCTATAAATAAATTGAGGTGATATTGCATTATTCGTATCTTCTTTGAGTCTATTTTTAAAATATTTTATTTATTGATATTTACCATGTAAAAATCATCTGTAATTAATTTTAACAGCAAAATATTCAATAAAATGAAATATATATATATATATATATATATATATATATATACATACATATATATATATAATAATAATAATAATAATAATAATAATAATAATAATAATAATAAAATGTGTATATATATATATATAATAATAAAAAAAATATATATATATATATATATATATATATATATATATATATATATATATATATATACATACGTGTGTGTATTATAATGTAATGTATTATAATGTATATTATAGTGTAATATATCATAATGGCTAAAAAATATTTACAGGAAAGTGAATCGATTATATATGCTATGCTTCCAGCAATTACAATTTCTTCTATTAATCTATTTTTGCCACCAGCATTTCGTCTTATTGCATCGATGGAATCCTATCAATCTGCTGCAAATGAGCTGCAGATAACCCTAATGAGGTAAGTAGATATTCAATATTTGCAATTAAAAAAATAAGTAAATTAAAATGTCATGTATATATATATATATATATATATATATATATATATATATATATATATATATATATATATATATATATATATATATATATATATATATATATATATATATATATATATATATATATATATATATATATATATATATGGTCGAAAATAAATTTCACAACTTTAAGTTTCATGCTGTTGCAATCGTCAGGTGAAATACAACTATAGTTCAATAAAAAAATCATGAGGTAAAATACAAATATTGTTCAATAAAACATTATATACAATTGAAACTATACAGAAAAAACCTATATGGAAAAAACTAGTGTTACAACCTCATGTATCTAATTTTCAGGTTTGTGGAAATTTTTTTTTTCATGATGACATTTGAAAATTAACTCTGTTTTTTTATTAAGTAGCTCTTCAGCATTTTTATAAAGTAAAATTATTAGTTTTTTATTTAAACAAAGTAAACATTTTTTTGTTGTATTGTTGTAAGCTGGGTTTTTTTTTAGGATAAACCAAGTTTATTCTGTCGTTTCTTTCATTTTTTCCCTAGTTTCCCATATATATTTTGAGAGAGTGATTGCATTTGAAAGTTTTTATTTGTAAATGATTGCTTGTGGTTTGCATATCTTTTTCCATACGCCTTCTGATAAACCAATGTATGCTATGCTGTGCATGTTTTGGAGAAATGTTATGCATTTGTAAATTATGTTTGTTGTTCAACAATATTTATTCAGCAGATTTCTTTTTTCGACAGCGTTGATAGTATTTGGGATGCTGATTTCAAATTAAAATTTGAAGACCATTTTTTTTTTTACATTTTTATAGCAAAATTCTGCCAAAACGCGGGGGTACTGCCCCCCAAATTTTTTTCCTAGAATAGGCCTTATATATATATATATATATATATATATATATATATATATATATATATATATATATATATATATATATATATATACATATATATATATATATATATATATATATATATATATATATATATATATATATATATATATATATATATATATATATATATATATATATATATATATATATATATATATATATATATATATATATATATATATATATATATATATATATATATATATAAGGGTGTTAACTAGGAATAAATTTCATACAGCATTTTGTTGATATTAGGAATTTGTCAAAAAATTTCCTAAATATACCAAAATTATGTCATCAAAAAAAATGTTTTAAAAATAGAAAACTAAAAAAGGTTTTAAAAATAGTAAATACAAGCTTGTAAATTGCATAGCGAAATAAAGTTACAATTACAAAGTCTCAGCAAAAACCACAATAAATGTTTAATTAAAAAAGAATTACTAAAGATCGTATGAGATTGCATGCTATCATGGCATCAAAGAATACCAATAATTATTTTTTCATGCATAGTCATAAAATGTTATTATGACTATTGTTCATTAAGTTTACTTTTATGTTTTAAATTCAAGTAAGCAGTGAATCTAGTTTCTTAATCTTGCTTCGTAGGGTAGTTGAAGCTTTCTTAAGCTTCGCAGGGTAAATGTCTTAATTCTTAAATCAATTTAGTTGGTTATTGTTGAACACTTTCTAATTTTTGTATATCCTTATTCATTACAGGGGTTGCATAGCGGTGCTGCATATTCGAGAATAGGTCTTATGAAATTGCAGTACAGAAAATTTATTGTGTTTTTGTCTTTGTAAGTAAATGATTTGATTGACCTAAACAACTATTTGTTTTATTTAAAACTGTATTTACATGGTGATTCCACTTCATAATATTTGTTATCATTGATGCCAATTTCTTTTTTAAAGTTGTTGAGGCTAGTTTTGAATCTTTCATATTATATGGATCTTTTCCAAAGTGCATGATTTTACATTTTTCAATTTTAAAACTTATACATTTGTCAAACCATTAAGTTAAATTATTTGTCAAACCATTAAGTTAGATTATCAATATAATTCTTGGAAGAGTTTTGAGTCTGTCTTGTTTTTCACAACAGCAACAATTATCTGCATAAAGTTTGCATTTATTATTAATTTTAAAGGGAAACAATAATGATCCAAGTACTCAATCTTGTGGAACACCACTCAGCACCTTTAACTAATCTCATTTTGTATTGCCAATTGTAATAAGTTGTTTGCTTTATGAGTTTTAAAAAAAACCGTTTTTATTATATAATGTCCTTTACTACTCAAGCCAAGTGTTGCCAAATGAAATAATCCAAAAACATAATTACTTTTATCTACAATTAATAGATCAAGTATATTTGTTAACTCGTTTTCATTGATTTGAAATGTAGCTTCAGTTACACATAGGTAGGTTGTACAGGTCAGGAAAACATGAAGATGGGAGAGAGTTCCAAAGCATAGATGTGAATGGGAAAAAAAACTTGATATATAAAAGTTTTGAGAGTATGAAGGTTTGATACAGTAAAAGAAAGAATCTTGAATGAGGAGAAAAGCAAAAATGAGTTTTAGTTGATGAAGCTGTTGAGCACTGCTCCAATTACATTTACAATGTTGTTTTTGACTTTGTCTACAAGAGAAAAAGCATTATTAGAAGAACCAGCCCAAATAAATTAACAATATTCCATACACAAACAAATAATAGATTTTTAAAGTTGAAAATGGAATTTGGAGTAAGAAACAGCGAGCACAATAAAGAGAAGCAACTTTAGCAGATTCTAACTTTACATTGGATTGTATATGTAATGACTTATATTTATGTTATATTTCCATGAGAGGTCATATACCAAATAGAGTCATTTTAGATGTAAGATTGTCAGGAAGATCATAAGTGTATGTAAGAAATTATACAAGACCAAAAAAAGAATGTTTTGGTACCCCATAAGTAATTGTAAATGATGAAGAGTGTTGGCTAATGAAGATAAGTTTAATACTGTGGCTTAAAAGAAATGATTCAATAACTCAAAAACTTTCCTAGATACACCATGTAAAGCAAGTTTGTGGATAAGGCCAGCATGCAAAGTATCAAAAGCTTTTGATATGCCAAAATCAAAACCTTTGTTGATTGTCAAAGTATAAGTTATTAAACTCAAGATGAAATGATAAAAATTTGTTTATTAAAGACTTTATGAGCTTGCTAATAATAGAGAGAAGATTGATTGGACGATAGTTAAAAAGGTCAGAGTGTTACCTATAACAATTTAAAAAATTGAAACCACAGTTGTTATTTTCCAGCAGAAAACAAGATTCAGTCAAGCACTTAAATAGATTAGAAAAAACTAAATGGCGTTTTTATTAGAATACAGAGCTCAAATTAACTCTAAAAAAATCTAATTGTGGAAAGGAAAAACAAATTTTATTTTTGCAAAAAAACATTTATCACAAGATATCACATTTTTTATAATTTATTGTTTCTTGATCTAGTGTACTCAACCCCTGGAATTAAGGTCAGCATTTGGCAATGCTGACTTAACTGCTCTCTTTAAAGTTTTTTAGGTTGTCCAAAAATTCCTGTCCTTGTTTCTATGCTTTATGGTGACTCCTTTGTGTCAAATTTTTTTTGCCGACTTGATGCTGACCTCTAACAGTTTTACCTCATTTTTCCAAGGGTTGCATACTATTAAAAATTAAAGTATGATTAAGTTTCTCATTCAAATGGTTTTTAAGTGGATGTTTTCATTCAATAAATTCATTCATATTGTTTTGCAATAAAAAGTGAAAATTTGGTTTATTGATTTGAATTGTATTTCCTTTAGTTTAAGAATATGCCTAAATTATTTTTTTAGAAAAAAGTTCTTTGAGCAGAAGTAAAAAAATTTATTTTAATTTTAATTTTTTATAATTTAATTTTACATTTCAACTTTTGTAATCATTGGTTTAATGTTTGTAATAGAATGTTTTTTTATACTTTTAAAACTATTTTTAAGAAACATAATATAGTTAACTATTCAAAACGTTCACGATTTATATAAAACTTTTTTCCTCACTTGCACTATGTTCTAAATCTGATACTGTTACTGTAGCTAGATATTGCTAGATGTAGCTAGATATATAATATCTGATGTTGTTACTGCAGCTATACGTTTAACTTTCAACCATTCTCGCTTTGCTATGTATTACATAAAAAACTAAAATTCTTTTGTTGAAGTAGATTTATTTTTAAATAAAATTACAAAAAACAACTTGCATATTTATTGAAAATGTTAATCTTGATATCGCTTAAAATAAAATATTAAAAAATGGTATCGTGTTTTTTATATAGAAATAGAATAAGAGAATTTTAGAAGAATAAAATTTTTTTGTTTAAATAGATTTCTATTCCTATAAAAAACTTGCGTATTTAAAGAATATGTTTATTCTTGATAGCACTTTAAATTAAAAAAATAATATCGCATTTTTATATTCTATTCGAGATTTCTTGTTAAAATAATTTTTAGTTAGAAGCTTATATTATGTGTTAACAACATTTAAGATATAAATAGAAACATTTATATGGCTAATTTTTGCGAATCTTAGAGTATATTAATTAAATTTAATAGTTGAGTCACTGTAAGTTTAAGATTTAGTTTAAAGGTAAATTTACTGTAATGTACTTTTTCCGTTCAGTAAATGCAAGTAAATATAACTTTAAAATAATATTGGTTTCCAAACAGAGATTCAAAGTAATTTAAGTTCAAAAGCGTTTTATGTTAAATAAGATCTCTGCTCAAGAGAGCAAAGATCATTCTATTCTAATAATAAAATTAGCATGTTGTACTTTATGACCCCTATTAAAAAACTTAGACAAAAACATTACTTTTAAGAATGAAATGTATTGTTTTTGAAAACAAAAAAAAATGCAAAATTAGAAAAGAAAAAATTTTTGGTGTAAAAATAATTGCGATACGTTTTATTTGAGCCCGGGACCATGAGAGGAATGTTGTTTAGACCACAAGTAGTAAAAGATTTTAATTGAGAAACGGCTTAAACAATGGAAGCCCAAGTGATATGGATGTCTAACAATAAATTAAATTGTTTCTCTGAATTACAGAAAAAGTGTGGACCTAAGATTCGAGAGTTGAATTAGAGGAAAAGTTATTTGCAACAACATCAGTTTTTGCTGTCTAAAAAAACAACTGTCCAACAACATGTAAATATAATGAGGTATAATAACATCTATTAATATAACATAATAATAACAACATCTGGAATTTCATTGATGTCTAATAACGTCTGTGCAAAAAGTATATATTACAATTGTCAATTCAATTATCTAAGTATAACAACATCTGTGCAACTATATCTGTGGATTCCACAGACGTTACATATTTTCAATTATATTAAAAACAACTACATCATTTTTTTCAGATTAATAACATCAAGAAAAAATTATTAAATAGTAATGTGTAATTTTAACCAGATGTAGCTACATAAATGATTTTTTTCATTATGCATAGCGTCTCAAAACTAAGAAACTATGCATAATGTCTTTTCTTCAATTGCCAGGCTACAGTGCAGTGTCTGGTTATAGTGCAGTGACTGCTTACAGTGCAGTGACTGGTTACAGTGCAGTGACTGGTTTCAGTGCAGTTACTGGCTACAGTGCAGTGACTGGCTACAGTACAGTGACTGGCTACTGCAAATGTCAATTAAAACAAAGTAGCAAATAAAATTAAAAAATAAAAGAACAAACTAGAAATAGTTGAGGAGAAAATTCTTGGTGAAGGGGGAGTAGGCAGTTCTTTGTAAATCCAACATTTTTTTAAACAAGCTAAATGGACACACACAAAAATATTTAATGTCATGGATTGACCCTTACCATAAGCTGCCAACATGAAGGTGTTTAAATATTTCAAAATAATCACCAAATAAATAAATATAAATTTGTGTGTGGTATGTTTATAAAATTATCTATATTATATATAATGACCACTTTACTTTATTTCAATGATCTTTATAAAGCTTTGAATTTAATGATACATTAAGAGATGACTTTTATTATACAATTTCAATTCAAACTAAGTTCTAGAAGTTTAACAGGATTTATTGTTTCACAGAATTTCATTGTGCCATTTTTTAATTAAAATATGACAGAATTGTTGAAGCAATATTTTACAACAAAAGAATTGTTTGATGGAAGCAATATTATTAGGATCTTTATTTATAAAACATCATTTTATTCTAGTCCTAAATTGATGGTCTAAATTGATGTCACAATTCACAATTGTAATATCACAATTCACAATTGAAATTTGGTCTTTGTTTCTGTGTGCAACAAAAAGCTGAAAATAGGTGCACACATATTTTGAAGCAAGGAATCTAATAAAATAATTTAAAATATTTAAAAATAAATTTAACATCTAAAATTTTAACCTTAATTGAAGTTTTACTGGGGCTAGTTCAATTACAAAAATGCCGATGTAGCTCAATTTTTTTTTCTAATCAAGAGTTGGAGTCTTTTCTTAAACAGAAAAAAATACATGGTCAAATTTACTTAAATTTGTTACTTATAAAACTGGAATTATAAAAACCAAGTTAAAATAAAAGGTGGTTCTCTTAGGTGCTTAATGCACATGATGTTTATTAATTTTTGGAAAATTTTCACAACCACCCTAAGCTTATCAAGACCCCTCCATTCGTTTATTAAATTTTACTCGTCATGAACAAAAAATTGTATCATAATCAAAAAAAAAATTATAGTTCTTTTTAACTTTTGAAACCAGTTTAGGTCTTCAAAATTAGAAAATACAAACTTACTTATAGAAACAAAATTAAAAATTCCCACCCACCTGTTTATTACAACCCCCCCCCCCCCCCCATCCTTTTTTTCTCATCTTTCCCCCCTCCACTCAATTTCCTTCTCACATTTATTACATTTGGACTAAAATATTAAATTTGATTTTTCTAAATTCAAAGTGACCAGTATGTTTTATAATCATTTCTTCTATTTTAGTTACAACTTTCTTCACAACTGTAAACAATAATAATGATAGGGATGGCAATCTCACATCCTGAAATCCTGGGATTCCATACAAGTTGTTCATCTCAAAATTCTGGGATTAATCCCAAAAATTTTCTGGGATTTTAGGATTATCATAAAAAAAAGTTTAAGCTTAATTTGTAATTAAGTAATACATCATAAAATGTAAATATAGAAACTTGTATTTTCTAAATTTGAAGACCAAAACTAGTTTCAAAAATTAGAAAATAATAACTTAAAACTTTTTTTAGAGTTATGAGATGCAGTTTTTTTGTTCATAACAAGTAAAATTTAATAAACAGATAAAGGGGATCTTATAATCAGCTCAGAGTGGGTGTGAAAATTTTCAAAAAAAGAGTAAACTTCCGTGTATTTAGCACCTAAGAGTACCACCTTTTTTTTTCCTTTGGTTTTTATAATTTCTGTTTATAAATAACAATTTTAAGTAAATTCGATCATGTTTTTTTTTTTCTGTTTAAGAAAAGACCATTCTCCAATTCTTTGTAACAATTTTGACTAAACTATTCAGAATGACATCAGAAGCTACATCAGCATTTTGGTAATTAAATTTGCCCCAGTAACATTTGCAATAAAAGTTGAAATTTCATGTTTATTTTAATTTTTAAATATTTTAAGTTGTTTTATTGGATTCCTTGCCTCAAAATATGTAAATTTACATATTTTAAGCATGCCATTGCACGCAGAAGAGTCACAATGACCAAAAGACAAATTTTTAAAAATTTATATTGGGTAAAATTGTTATATCTTTGAAACTGTTTGAAATTGGTTAATTTTCTCGGATGTTCATAACTTATTAAATTCTTTGAGTCATGTAAAAATCAGCAAAATCTAAGGCTTAGGTTTGCATGCTTTGAATGTTTTAACATAGAATTGCCCAATTCACAGTTATAATCTCACAGTTCACAATTATAATGTCACAATTTACAATTGTAATGTTACAATTCACAATTAAAATGTTATAGTTCACAAACTAGACTTTTAGAAATAAACAAAAACAAAAGAAAAGAAATTAAAACAAATAAATAATTTAAAAAATTTTCAAAATAAATTATACTTGTAACTATTTTCTTGAAATTTGAAAAAAATTCTTTCAAAAAAGATGAAATTTTATTGTTCCAACTGTCGTTAACCTATTGTCCAACTGTTATTATTGTTTAGGCTGGGTACCTTTCATTGTCCTCTTTTACCCGTCATTGTTGTTCTTAAGCTAATAATAACATTCTATGCAAAGAATGTAAAGTTTTTTTGTGAAACATTTTATTATATGTAATTTTATTATATGTATTTTGTGAAACTTTTTTTTTTATATGTTAATCAAAGTTCTTGTCTTTTTTAATTTCAAAAACTATTTTTAGTTTAGCCTTATTCATAATTGCAGACCCACAATGCGTCCTTTCAAGGCAAGAAAAATGAATTTAGTATTTTTGGTACTGCTTTTTATGATGCTAGTTTTTGTTGTCATAGTGACTGACTACAATATTATGAGCACTAACAAGTAAGTTTTTATAATGACCACTCACAAGTAAGTTTTTATAATGACCACTCACAAGTAAGTTTTTATAATGACCAAACATGACTAAAAATCTGTTTACAAACAAAAAAATCCGTAGAAGATCAAATTTAATTAATTATGTTGACATAATTATTTTGCCTGTCAAATAAAAGTTAGCACAATTATTTTTTTTTAATATAAATTTTAAAAACATTTGTTCAAGTTTTGTACATGTTGGTAGAGTTCATTTTTAAATAACTAATCTTTTTTTTCAGGCAACTTTTAATCCTGTTTTCTACTGGGTAAACAAGTGATTTTTTTTTGTGGCAGTTCTTATTTGACACTTGTTATTGATGTTGTATTTTTAATGGTTAAAAAATTATATCTGTAAATTATTGCTTTAAAACTTCTTTTCTATGAACTCAAAATGTTGACCTGTTTGATGTTCAAGAATGGTCAAATACTGTTGAGTCAAAATAAAATGTGACCTAACATTAAATTACAATATTTTTGACTATAAATAAATATTTAAGAATATAAATACAAAAAAAAAACTTATAAAAATCAGACAAAAACCTTAAAAAATTATTTTTTTTAAGTTTGAAAGATAAAATCAAAAACTTTTATATGGTAAGAGAGCAAAAAATAAATGTAAAAAGGATAACATTTAAAAAAATGTAAAAGAGATAACAGTAAAATAAGAATAAAGTGTAAAATGGAAATAGTAATAACATAGAAAAAAAGAAGAAAAAAAAACCACATCAAAAACAGCCTTTTCAAAAAAAAAAACAATTTTTTTTTTTAAAGCTTTACTTTTTCTGAGATTAAGATATATTTCCATATAAAGATAAACTTTTATAATTTTCTGAGATAAACTTCCATATAAGGATAAATTCTGAGATTTTTGAATTCTTCTAATAAGGTAAACTTCCATATAAGGATAAATTCTAAATTAAAATATTAAAATAAGAAAGGAGAAAATAAATATATATATATTTTTATTTTTGTTTATTATTATATTTTATTGTTTCTTTAGGTTAAAACCTTCAACACAATGTGGTTCTTTTAGGTATATGTTTTTTATACTTTCAGGCATACATTTCATATATTCTTTTGGTTATAAGTTTTTTTTAATTATACTTTCAGTTATAAGTAAAAAAAGTTAGTTATAAGTTTTTTTTAATTATACTTTCAGTTTTGATAAAACTAATGTAATTTTAATAATTAAAATTATTATTATTTATAAGTTTTTCTATTAAGTAAAAATATTTTGTTATCGTAATGTAAAAAAAAAACACTTTTATTCGAATAGCAACTTTTTGTTCAGAAAACTTCAGAAATTCTGAAAGACCGTATGCATCCTTACTTTCTATAATATTTCCAAGGTTTAATTTATGCCACCTAACCCTGTTTCTCTCTGCGACTTTCTTTTCTCCCAAGTTATGTTTGTTCCATCGCTTTCACTTTATTTAAAATTACATTTTTGTGTCACTTTTTTAGTCTCTTTCTTTACTTATATTAGTGTTGAAATTGAACAATTTTTTTTATTTTTAAATCATGTTTATAATAAATCTAATATATACTTTGAAATGATTTATAATTTTAGAGGTATGAACAGTATTTATGATATTGTCAGTATCATTGTGGAAAAATTACCAAAAGTAATAAGTGATTTTATCAAAGTGATTTCATCTGCTGCTGTTATAGCTGCCATAACATTTTTAATGTTGTATGTTGTTTTTTTTATTATTTTTAAATTATTTTCAATATAAATTTGTGTTTGTTTGTTGATTGCTTTTTTTGTTTGTTTCTCTTTTTTTAGCTTTGTTGCCTACTATTTTCGAATAAAAAAACTTTCCTGTGAAAAAAAAATAGAACTCATGAAAAAGCAAATTAAATTGGTAAGCCTAACTTATTTTTTGCTAGCTTAGTATTGTCTTGCTAACTGTCATGTTTAAACAGAAATACTTAATATGTTTAAGTATATCTGTTTATACTGCGCAATCTTTTCTTTTGAAAATTTTGCTGCTTCCTTCTTTTTTCAGCTTCTCATTATGTGAATTTCAACTAAACTTTATTTACTTTATTTTAACTCTGGATGTAACTGAATCATTTTTATTAAACAAAAATATTTAAATTTATGATTTGTAGCAGAGATAAATTGTGATATAGTTTTGGAAGTTGTTGAGGAAGCATTAAAAAATTATCATTACCTTTATCTTTATTATTTATTAAAATCATCATTATCTTCATTTTTATTATTTTAATGTTTGTTACTCCGCAATTGCATGATTTTCTATCTTTTTTTTGATAAATAAGATAGTAATTATAAGTTTAAATTGCTCTTATCTCAAGTTGCTATTGTAAAGAAATTAAAATGTATTTGCAGTATTTGCATGATGGCTCCAATTATGTCATTTCTTTAATATTTAAAGTCTTACTTATTTTGTTAATTCTATTTAGTCCAAGTTGTTTTATGTTAATGTTTATGTATTTCTAAGTTTTTTACATTTGTTTTACCTCACGAAAAAAGAAATGTTGATCATTCTTCTTTCTTTATGGCCTACATAATTTATAATTATGTAATCTTGTAATGTAAGATGTATATATAATACATCGTTTACAGTTTAGGATGTTGAGAAACTATGTTTGAATCCACAGACTATTCTTTTATGTGCTTTCGTTTAGTACCACTTAACTCTATCACCTTTCTCTTTTTTCAATATTGCTTTCCATCTCATGACTGCACTCTTTTCGATGTTATTTCTGATCAAATTGACTAAGTCCTCTCTCTTTATTTTTCAGCCAATATTGTTGTTGTTGGTGACTTAAATGCTCATCACACTGAATAGCTTAGCTCTAGTCTCAGTGACTCTGTAGGCGTTTAGGCCCACAATTTTTGCTTTTCTCAATCCCTAACTCAAATTGTCAATTTTCCAACTTGCTTTCCAGACAATAAGAATCCTTTACCTTCTCTACTCAACATATGTCTTGATTCTGATCCTAGTAGGTGTTCTATTTCTCCACATTCACTCGTAGATGCTTCTGATCACGGTTCACATCTCTCTAACCTTATTATCTCATTCTTATTCATTATTAGAATCTCCCTATCATGGTATCTCTTTTAACTACCTTAAAGCTGACTGGGACTCTATGATTTTCTTCGTGATGACTCCATGATTTTCTTCGTGATGACGTTTGGGTAGAAATCTTTCATCTCCCTGCTAACAAATGTGCTTTTTGCATAACTTCTTTGATTCAAGCTGGCATGGATGAGAAGTTCTTAGTAAGTCAAGCCTTACTAAGAACTTCTCATCAATATCATCTCTTGATTCCACTAGTCGCGTTTTACCTGATATAGCTGACAAACAGGTTAATCCATTGCCTGATGTTTGTATCATTCCAGCTTCTGTGTCTAAAGTGATTTCTTGCTTAGACTCTTCTACAGCATGTGGTCCAGACAATATACCTGTTATAGTCTTGCATAAGTGTTCTCCGGAGCTGTCATCTATAATTTCAAAACTATTTAACAAGTGCTTATCGAGTCTTGTTTTTTAGCCTGCTAGAACTAGGCATTTATCTTTAATTTCAAAATCTTTGGAGAACGATCTGACTTGTCTAACTACTGTCCCATTAGTGTTCTTCCTATCATAAAACAAACACTTAATCTCTCATCTTAAATCTAATAACTTTCTGATCATCAATATGGATTTTGATCTTCTTGTTCTACAGCTGATAATAACTGATAGATCAATATTCATGCATTAGATAGATGTGGAGAGGTTAAGGCTATTGTTCCCAACAGTTTTAAAGCTGTTGATAAAGTTTGGCATGTTAAAATTCTCCATAAGCTCTCTTCTTATGGTGTATCAGGTAACATCATTAATATTATTGAATCCTTCCTTACTAATTGTTATATAAAAGTTGTCCCTTGATAGACAGTGCTCTTCTTCATATCCTGTAACTTTAGGGGTTCCTCAAGGTTCTATCCATGGCCCTATACTCTTTTTAATTTACATTAACAATCTTTGAGATATTCTCACATTTAAGGTGGCATTGTTTGCTGATAATACTATCATTTATTCTTGCCTTGATAAGAAGCAAACACTCTCTGATTGCTTGGAGGGAGCATTTGAGCTTGTAAAAGATCTTAATTCTGCTACAGCATGGGGCTTTTAGTGGCTGGTGAACTTTAACTCAGATAAAAAATTTTTTCAGCTAATTGTTATCGCATTAATCTAGATCTTCCTATACTTATGAAAGGTAATGTATTTGATGAGTCATCTATCCTTCATCTTCTCGGATTAACTCTTACTTCTGATTTTTCTTGGAAACAATATATCAAATCCATTGCAAACTTAGCAACTGCTTAGGTTGCATCCAGGGATTATCTTTTTCCGGATATTTCCGGATATCCAAAACATTTTCAATACATGCAAGTTGAGGTATATATTTTTGTAATATATTGGTTTTTAAATCTTTTTCACTCATCACTCATTTAAAAAAAAACTTAGCTAAAAGCGAAATAAAAAAGAAAATAAAGGAAAACAAATTCCGGATTTTTTCTGGATATTTTATTAAAACAATTTTCCGGTTTTTTTAAATATTACTAGGATGATCTATTGTTGCATCTCTTTATTGTGTCTCTATCTTACTCTTGTTTATCTTTATAAACCTCAAATCCTTGTATGGAATTCTGTTGCTATTTCTGGGGTGGATCTTTCAATGATGCCCTTTCTCTTTTAGACAAGGTGCAAAAACGCATTCTAAACTTACTCTTGCAGCCAACCTTCAACAATTATCGCATCGTCATAATGTTGCTTCTTTTTCTATTTTCTACAAATACTATAATGGGCACTGCTCTAAAGAACTATTGTCCCTTGTGTCATATACTATAATTCATTTTTATGTTACTCATCATTTAATTAAGTCTCATCCTTTTTTGTGACTGTTCCTAAGTGCTCCAAAAACTCTTATTGGTATAGTTTTTTTCCTCGAACATGAGTTCTTTGCAATTCAGTTACTCCATTTTGTTTTTCTGTTTTGTATAACTTCCGATCTTTTAAGTCATTTCTTAATCGTTATCTTGCTCTATAAACTTTATCTTTTCTCTTCCAGTAACTTCCAACTCGAATAGTGGTTGCTTGCAGCCTTGTTTAAAGTAAAGGTGTTGAAAAAAAATTTTTTTTTTACAAACAACATCAATAAATGCAAAAAGTGGATGTAATAATTCATGCATTTTTAATAATTGAAAGCGACAACAATAATTGCAAGCAGCTTTAATACTTTTATAATTCAAGATTATGAATATATAAAAGTTATAGTTAATAGCAAGTTAATTTTTAAAAAATGTCTTTTTGAAATTTTTTTGAAATTTTTTTTAATTTACGAAAACTGAATCATTTCACTAAAAAGATTAACTTAAAAATCATTGAAAAACTAAAAAAAAAAACTGTGGTTGAAAAACTAAAAAGAACAAACTTAAAAATAATTTAAAAAAATTTAATCGTTTTTTCTTTTTATTTCTTATTATTTTTTCTTTTCATTTCTTTCTATTTCTAAAAGAATCTGTTTTTTGAAAATTGAAAGCTTATGAAAATGCTAAAAATCTTCATTCTTGATTTCTAAGAACAATATTTTAGATTTTTCGACTATTAAAAAGATCTCTCTTTCAAAAGATATTAAAGTACCTTTTTTACATTTTCCTGACTTACACAATTTACAGTTTAAGCATAGTAAAAAAAAATCATTTGGTGTTTGTATTTAGCACATATTGATGTTATTATATGCTTAGTTTCATAGTTTTTACTTGAAGTTTTACAAATATTTTTATGTTTATTCTGTCGCGATAGTTGTAACGAAAAATCCAATTCTTAAAAACAAATAAAACGACGCAATCAATGATGTAAGAAAAAAAGTATAAATGATTATTAACAACCATGTATATTATGTTAAAAAAATGCACAATAACATTATCAAAGTTCCAATTACGAATATATAATATAATTTTTAATGCTACACAGCAGGACTGTAAATCAGCATCAAAACACGTTTATACAACCCTTACAACATTAAAACCATACTATAGTATGATAATATGATTTTTTTAAATAACTTTTTTGCCTAAAAGTATTTTTAAATAGTTAAAAAAAAAAGTTATGGAGTTTAGTATGTGTTTTAATAACTTTTTTTTTCCCCTCTTTCTCGCATAATTGCCCATACATATATATATATATATATATATATATATATATATATATATATATATATATATATATCTTCTTTGATGATGATCAATTGCACTAAGTAATTATAATGGTAGCTGATCAGTCGACAAAACTTTATTTAAGTTCTTAGTGCTATCAGTATCGACTGATTGTTATTATTCGTGGATAATGTGATGTTTAATCTGACTTGGTAACACCTCTTTGAGGTCTGAGTTAAAAAGATTAAGATGTGATTATTTTAAAGGGGCCCTCAGCACGAAAGCAATATTCAAAAGCGGGTAATTGTCCATTCTTTGTTAGAATGGAGTAGCAAGGAATCAATGGAGGAAACTCATAGATCGTGTGAAGTAGCATTAATACATCCGATTGCACTAAAACTTCTACAAGTTAGAATAAGACAGACATTCGTCTTACCAGCTCCACTGGTATATGTTTAGAACTCTAGAAGTTAATAAATTCTGAGACAGCTAAATGGAGCATATTTCTTTGTGGAATTTTGGATGTGACTCTTTTCTTGGCTTCTAGGAATTTAGCTTTTCAAGGTAACTCATTATAAAGTTCTCTCAACATCAATTTTAATTACTTATATAATTATTGTATAATTTAATTATAACTACTATATACAACTATGTTTGCAAATAAAATAACACATGTGAGTGGGAAAGAAATTGGAAGCTTTCTGGCTGGTATAAAGTTAATTGGTTGTCACAACCTCGTCATTGCATCCAGCTTGGAAAATGTAAGGTCCCATTAACAAGAGGGCACCCAAATGAATGTCCTTACTTCTTTCCATTGTCTCAAAATGAATTCATTGGAGAATATGGTGGTGTCTCCCGAAATGCAGTTGTTGAAGAAATCCAGGATGATAACTACTTCACAATCGTAGTCGATGGTACCACAATATATCTCACACTAAGCAGATAACATTTGTTATTTGTTTTTTCCTCTATGAAAGAGAAACCAATCACTGCCAAATCAAAGAACAATATTTGTGTGTTAAAGCTTTTGAGATGAAGAAAGGAGTTGATATACCTAAGTTTATCTCTTATGTGATTTTAAGGCTAGGATATTTAAAACTGTTTTGGTCAGGGACACAATAATGGATTCATTATGTGAAGTCCTTACAAGGGAGCTCAAGCCCTAATATGGCAAAATTATTCTGAGGCTCTGTATATTTCTTGTAGGGCTCACAGTCTGAATTTTGTGGGTGTGCACGCAGTTGAATCATTGAGATCAATGTATTCTTTGAAAATGTTAAATCTTGGTACGTACTTTTTTGTATAAGTCCGATGGAAGATCCTCATTTTAGCAACAAGAATTTCACTGCATAAACTTTTTATGACAAGAAAGGGCTCTTGTACAGACTTGATCAAGCCACTTGCCAAAAGGCCGAGAAAATTTTTGGCAGCTGTTAAACATGCTATGGAAAATGTGGATCTGACCAGTTAGTAGCTCAGCCAAGCAAGAAATTTAAAAAAATGATTATTATCTTTTGAATTTGTATTGCTAGTTTTGGGACAAAACCCTTACTGTTGTTAACGACATTAGTCATCTTCTACAATCTGAATGGTAATCCATTGATGATGAGCTATGTTTGATTAGACATTTGTTGGAAGATTAGGGGCTCTTGGTTGCAAACTTACCAAAAGGCTGTAGCTGAACCGCTAGGATTCGAAACTGAATTTGCTACTAAAAAAAAGCTTAAACTATAGCACTTTCATGATAAAACATCAAACACATCCCATTTCAACAACAGCAAAACAAAAGAATTCAAAGTGAACGTTTTTGATTTTAATTTAGATGGTCTGGTCCAGTAGATTAATTCAAGATTTAAGGCAAGCAGGATGGTTGGCAATATATTTTCGTTCATCTAGTTAAATAATGATGATTCCTTTAAAATAAAGCTTGAGAACTTGCGCGGAGAGATGTGAACAAAGTGAATCTCATTGATGAAGTTCGTTGTTTTAAAAATAGCCGCAAAACAATTTTCCAGCAAGGAAATCCAATGCAGTTAATCAATCAAATCTTTAAGAAGAAGCTTGAATGCCTTTTTCCATACATTTGCATCATACATCGGACTTTCGACATCCTGATTCAGTTGCTGAGGATAAAAGATCATTTATTAAACTAAATAATGTAAAAAATTCTTTCTGTTCGACTATGGTTCAAGATTGCATTACTGATACTTGATTATTTTGCTTGAAGAAGATTTAGTTAAAAAGGTGAGCTAGAACAATTTCATTGATATTTGGGCTGCCAAGAAAAGCTCATAAAAATTCCTTTTAAAACACCTTATTAACCTCTCTTGAAGATTTTGTTGATTGATTTTTTGTTTATTAGTTTTAAAACAAATGCTTTGATTCATATGTCAGTATTGATTAATGAGCTGTTTCTCAATCCAGAGAATTAATAGTAAAGCAGAAATACAATGTACTGTATCAGAAATAAATAATTGCTGCATTTACAAAACTTTAAATTTTTTTAATTTCTTGTTTTGAAATTAGAGCGCTGTTATCCATTTTTGACCCTGGCGCTCTCAAAGGCCCTATATATATATATACATATATATATATATATATATATATATATATATATATATATATATATATATATATATATATATATATATATATACTCATATAGTGTCGCTTTAAGAGCATTTTAATGTAAAAAAAGTCTCTTACGACTACAATTTTAATTACTCGTCTCTTAAGCTGTTTTTGACTGTCGTCGAAATGTCAAAGCAATTAATTTATGCGGAAGTACATTAAATTTAATTGTTTTTTAACAAATTTTTAAAAAACCGCAATTATAACGACTAGAAAGTTTTTTTTAATTAGTGGTGTTTTTGTTATTGATTTAATAAAAAACATTTTTTAAACATGCGTAAATGTTGCTACATCGACTATCTTATAGCTTGACTCGCAACGGAGTGCTGCTACATCGACTGACAAATAGCCTGACTCGCAACAGAGTGCTGCTACATCGACTGACAAATAGCCTGACTCGCAACGGAGTGCTGCTACATCGACTGACAAATAGCCTGACTCGCAAGGGAATGCTGCTACATCGACTGACAAATAGCCTGACTCGCAAGGGAGTGCTGCTACAACGACTGACAAATAGCCTGACTCGCAAGGGAATGCTGCTACATCGACTGACAAATAGCCTGACTCGCAAGGGAGTGCTGCTACAACGACTGACAAATAGCCTGACTCGCAAGAGAGTGCTGCTACATCGACTGAGGGTTTGGTTTGGCCAGGCAGTCTATCAATTAAAAAAAAAAAATTAATTTTTAAAACTTTTTCTGGTCTGGTTTATTAACGCGCTTTTTAAAACTACAGTTTATGGGAAATATTTTTTGATGCTACGCAAGAGACATGCAAGACTATATATATATATATATATATATATATATATATTTAGGTCGTTAGAAACGTTAGTAGAACTTCATCTATAAAGTTACAATAAAACAGGAAATAATTAAATATTTATATATCAACTTAATGTGTGTTTAATTATGAACATTTTAAGTACTTGCTGAACTATTTTTAATGTTTATTAAAAAAGTTATTTAAATTTTATTATATATGTTTGTAAGAAAAACTTTTAAAATGGAAAAACTGAATATCGAGCTTATATTAAAACCCGTTATAATTGACAATGTGAAACCTGTTCAGTTTTTGTATTTGAGATTAAAAATTTAGTATTTGGAGTAAAAATGTACATAAAAAAAGTAGTTTAAATTTTAACACATAAAAAAAGTAGTTTAAATTTTAAATTCTGTTATAATTATTTGTTAACTATTTTTTACAAAGTTAACCGAGTTTCAGCTTAAGTCATAATCTATGAATTGGTTTTAGTTCATGGTGACAAAGCTCCAAAATATAGTGCAAGTTTAATGCTAAGTGGGCTACTTTATTTAAAGATGGTAGAGAGAGTCTTGATTGATGATGATCCTTGCTCAGGGCACCCTCAAACCACGTATACAGCTAAGAATATTAAACATGTGCGAGTCATTATTGAAGAAAATCCGCATGCAACACATTATGTAGCTGAAGCCTTGACATCGGTTAATCGTATTACAATCAACGAAATCATTCACAGCGTACTTAAAAAAACAAAACTAATATCACGTTGGATACCCCACGAGTTAACCGATCAAAATCGAAAGAATAGAGTTAAGGCATGTCAGGAAAATCGTGTTTTTATTTGAGACAAGTTGGACTCGAGTCAGCTAACGCTAGTTAAGTTGGTGAAGGTGAAAGTCCAAGAACTATAGTAAGATGTGATAGGTTTCAGCCGAAAAGCATGTTCTACATCTTCTTCAAAACAACATGTGTTGTTCATTTGGGTTATGTTGAAAAGGCAGACACCATTACTTGCAAATATTATATAAAAAATTGTTTGAAACCTCTTATATGCGTAATAAATAAGGAAAAACGTAAAACTGGCACTCACAATTTCTCCATGATGACGCTCAACACCATGTAATTCAAACCGTCACAATGTAAACAGTTTTAAAATGTATTCTACAAAATAGAATGCTCAATGTTCTTAAAAGAACAAAGCAATTATAAAGTAGTAGAAAATCACTTAGCAAAAATTTTTTTCATTTAACATTCCTGATGAGTCTTTATTGATAAAACACAGTTTTAAATAAAAAAAAAATTTTTTAAGTGGTTTACTACTACTTTACATTTTTCATAATATTTACTAATAACGGCATATTTCTATTGTTTTTCATGTAAACAAACAAAACATGCGACACATTCTTGTTTATTTAAAAATAATGTAAGCAACATAGTCTTTTGCAGCATACAGGAGTGTTTTATCTATTTTAACTAATTTGTTATATTTTTATTCTAATTACTGTTTTTTTTTTCTAAATATTTTGCATAAGTAACAGCCGCTTAAATCATAAAGTTTATGTACGAAAAGAAATGTAATTTAAATTCTTCTATATAATTAAATACCATGCAATTTCACGATACTTAAAGGTTTTTTATTTAAAATAAAACAATTTGTTATTCTCAAACAACAAAGATGCATTTAAAGACAGTTTAAAAAACAGTGTTAATAAAAAAAAACAAAGTATCATAAAGCAAGTATCATAACACTACTATATTTTTTAAGAAAGCAACATAACTTATTGATTCTATAATTATATTCATCTTTCCATTCGTTTTTAAGAAATAAAGATATTTTACGTATTATTATTTTTCTAGCAGTCATACAATTTAATTCATTTTAACATTTTAACATGGCATTGCATACACAAAAAAGAAACAAAAATTTGTCTGCAAACGATAATTTGACTGAGTCAATCAAAAAGAAATACTCAAAATTATTGAAATCAACCAATGAAATATGGTTGGTTAGATATCCGCTGGCAGATATTAATACCAGTTCTCTGCCTACTACTAGAGATGTCTACAGATTTTTTAGGTTTATACTATTTAAAGATTTTTTTAACTTAAATTTTTTATTTCCAAAAATAACTTTATTTTTCAATTAGAAAATAGACTTCAATTCATCTTTTGTTTACTTGTTAAGGTATCAATTAAAAATGATGAACAGTTCGCTTCAAGTGTTTTCTAAATGTACAAAAAGAATGTACTAAAAACAACATTTCAAAATTAAAATTAGCTGCAATATTAACGATGAAAACCGTTAAAGTATTTTGGGATAAAGCTGATATTCCTTGCAAGCAGGAAAAGTATATTGTTGAAAGTATTATTAAGTTACATGATAAATGGAGAAGTCTTGCAAAGTTTAAACATAAATGTTTTTCAAAAAAAGATTTACTTATTCAAGACTTCAAAAAAATAATGGATAATATATTTGATATTAGTTCTCCGAATTGGAAAGAATATGTTAAAAAAACCACATCAAATTTAAATGCAGAAGAAGATATTATCTGGTTTTTAGCACTCAAAAGTGGAGTAAAAGTGGAGGGCTAGATGGAAAAGATAATTTTTGAAATTGAGTGTCAAAAGAAAAATAAAGGTGGAGGAAAAAGAAAAATTAAGAATCAATAAAGAAAAAAAAAGAAAAAGAAATGATAAAGAAGTTGATTTCAGCATTTATAAAAGTGATAGTGACTCAACTGAAGAATCATTTTTTGCTGGGTCTAGAAGTTCTATGTACTCAGATTCTCAGAGCTCTTCTAAAATTGATTATGAAGTAAATAATTTTGAATCTTCTACAGATGTAGTGGAAAATGTTGTATCAGATAATATCAATTTAATTTTGACAAGAAACTTTGTTTGTCATCCAATGATAACAGCAACAGCTGATAGATCTAAACTATCAAACGCACAGCTTATGATGAATGTTTCAGCAATCCTGGTTCTAGGTTATTTTTTTATTGTTATTTAAATCACTAATCAGTTTCATGAGTTTTTAATTAGTGTGATGAGTTGATAAGAAAAATTTTATTCTGTATTTTTTAGGTGGTGTTAAAGCTAATGATGTAGATATTTCACTAAACACAATTAGAAGAGCACGTAAGCAAAATAGACAAATTATGGCAAGAAATATAATTGAAGAATTTAAAAAAAAAGTTAGATTAGATTATTTAACTCTTCACTGGGATGGGAAACTTATGAAGCAAATATCTGGTAAAAAGTTTGACTATTTAACTGTTTTAGTAAGTGGTTTTCTAAACTGCGAGGAAGGTAAAATTCTATCTATTAAACCTATTCAGTCAGGCACAGGACATTCTATATGTAAAGGAATCATCGAAGATTTAGAAAAATTGGATCTTAAAGATAATATTGTTGCCCAAGTTTTCGATACAACGGCTTGTAATACTGGAGTAAGAAACGAAGCAGCAACTCTTCTTGAAGAATGCAAATCTATAAAAACGCTTCTCTGGCTTGCATGTCGTCATCATGTTTTAGAATTAATCCTAGGGTCGTTTTGGAAAGCTTTATTTCAAAAAGAGACATCATCTGATGATAATATAGAGTTTTAAAATTTTCAAAAAGAATGGCTTCACTAAAAAAATTCCTGTCAAACTTTCAAATAGATCCCCTGATCTTGAAAATTCATTCTTAAAACAAAAAGCAAATGAAACTCGCAATTTCTTAGAAAAAGTATTGCAGTCTAAGCATCATCCAAGAGACGATTACAAAGAGGCTGCAGAACTAGCAATTTTTCTATTAGGTGGAGAAGAGCCCAAGAAATAGAAAACATGTGGTGCTCACCATCATGCAAGATGGATGGCGCATTTGCTTTATGCACCAAAGATGTTAATATTTAAAAAAGATTTAACCAAATCTGATTTAAAAAACCTTAAAATATTTTTGACTTTTAGCTCAGCCATTTACATTAAAGCTTGGTTAGAAGCGCCAAAGGCTTGCGATGCACCAATTAATGATATAAAATTATTTAATGATCTAGAAGCACTTAAAGGTATTCCAAACTTCGGTGTACCTGCTAAAAAAGCTCAATATGTTTTAAGCAGACCCTCTTGGTATCTAACCGAGCAGGTGTCGGTATTAAGTTTATTTTCAAATAAACTTTCTCTAAATGATAAAGATAAAATTGCAAAAAAAAAATGCTAGTATATGGAAAACCACTTGGTATCAATTGCGGTAAACCAACTCTTCCACTGGTTAGAAAAAATTCCGATATTAATTCTTATATTGGGAAAAAGTCTTGGTTAATTTTTCTTAATTTAAAAGATGATAGAAAATGGATTAAAATTCCTTCTTCAGAATGGGACGACAATGCTTATTATTTGAAAATGTTGCTGTTTATCAAAACTCTAAAAGTGACTAATGACGCGGCTGAGAGAGGAATTAAGTTGTGTTCCGATTATCTCCAAATACTTATTAAGGTAAGCCGTAAAATGAGTTGAGAAGGCAATTAAAAAATCTACATAATCATAAAAATTTACTATTAGAACAGATTAAAATAAAATTTCTTATCTTAAGGACGAGGCTGTACGAAACGAAGTTTTTAACGTGGTTGAAAATCACAGAAAAGTTGTAGGCAATTGTAATAAGAAGCAATTATTCGTTGATTTAGCTGAGTATAAATAATAACCGCTTTTTTATTATCTTTTCTGTTTTTCATTAGCCTGGTCATAAGACTGTCACGTATTATTTGAATAGCCCCAAATAATTTTTTTCCAAATTAATCAACTTTTCTTTCGGCAATCTATCATTTAAAAAGGAGTTATAAAAGCAGTTTTTACTTGTATTGTGGTAAACCCCTCCCATATGGGGGAGGGGTATTGAAAGTGTCACCAAATATCACATGGAGAGGGTAGTTAGCTACAATGTGACGCGAATTACAATTCTTATAATAGCAGAATTAGTAAACTTTTAGCAAAAAATTACTTAGAGATATATCTTTTTTAACAATAATAGCACTGCGCATAAAAGAGGGGGCGGGGGAGGAGTTGATAAACAAGTAATACAAAATGATACATCGGGGAAGTTCAAAAAGGATCAAAAACGTGTTGTCTATTAAATGAACAGCCTCAAATAACAAATATTTCCTCTAGATATAAAAATTCTAATCTTTTTTCACTTTCCTAAAAAATCCTAATTTTGACATATTTTAGACTAAAAATGAAAATAATCAAATCAAATTCGGCAGCACTCAATGATGTTTTTTTCCAATTTTTTTTTTATAGTTTGTATTCATATGTGAAAATGATCACGTTTTTTTGCAGACATGTTAAATTTTCAAATTTTTTTGTTTTTGGCCTACCCTAATATATATATATATATATATATATATATATATATATATATATATATATATATATATATATATATATATATATATATATATATGCACTTTAATCTGTTTAATTTTTTATCTTTATTCAATAGTGTGTTTATTTTAGGTTGGCCAAGATAAACAATACCTAATGGTGAAATTACGATATGTTTTGAAAGAAAATGTTCACTTGGACTAAAAGATATGCAAACTCAAAATAAAATAACACCCAGTTTTTTTTTTTTGGTTTGTGATTTCACAAATATCAGGTGTTGTGATTTGGCAAAACATTTTGTATTTAAATGTTTGATATGACTAAAATTTCTGTATTTAAATATTACGGTAGGGCTGAAAGGTTTTGTAAAGCATTTTTAAAAATCATTTTTATAAAACTTTAATTTGTAAAATAATTTTTTATGTTTTCTCAAATCATTGTAATTTTAAGAGTATATTTATTAGAACTTTGTAAAGTATATTTTTATATAAAACGTCGGTTTCTAATATTAAAAAGCAATAAAGTTTTAAAGTATTTTTTGTTTATTCTTTATTTTAAGTGCTGCGTCCTGTATTTTTCATACATTGTAGTTTATTTCCTTTTCTCTGTTTTCGTTTATGTATTGAAAAAAGATGGCAGAATTAAAGAGATAGTTGGCGTATGGAAATCAATGCAAAATGACGGAAATATTTTAAGATATATATAATTCTTATTTATATCATAAAATACTAGAACGGCCCTAAATCTTTTTAGCTGCTTCGCAAATTTGAAAATCGTCTACCGCAAAGAACTTGCATCAACACACACTATTCACTCATTGTAAATCACAAACCCACGAGCTGGATTGCAACTTTTTACCTCAGCATAGACCTCAATATGCACATTTCACATATTCATCATAACCTTTTCATTCTATTCCTCGCCAAACTATAGAGCTTTCGTTAGGCTTTTGGGTAATGCTTAAGAGAAGCAATTATTTTTTTTGAGCTTGATTAATAGCTAGCTTCTAGTAACTAACTAACTAGTATTTATTTTGAACTACTTAGTTTGTTCTAGTTAGTTAACTATTTGATGTTATTATTCAGTTGTTTTTATTTTCTTTAGACTAAAACAAGTTTAAGTAAATTAAATAATGAACTCAACATATTTTGATGATCAGTGGTTACAAATTCCAGAATATAAAGCTTGGGGATACAACTACCTCAGCAAAATGTAGAGTTTGTCCTCATCCAAGAAATAAAATTGAACTGTCTAATATGGGCCTGAGAGCGTTAAAAAGTCATTCAACAGGAAAGAAGCATTGTGAACGTTTGTCTCTGCATTTAAAAATGACACGTATACCATTTACCAATGTGTCAAAAAGTATACATATTGTAACAACCACTTTGTCAGAAAATACAGTTCAAGTTTCCACTCTTCAGTCGCATGTTGTGTCAAATTCGGTTATTGATGCAGAGATCAGATGGACACTTAATAGTATTTTGTCATCATTTTCTTTTCGATCCAGTAATGGACTTTCGATTTTGTTTAAATTAATGTTTCCTGACAGTGTTATAGCTGAAAAGTTCTCTCTTCAAAATGACAAGTGCTCATATTATATAAATTTTTCTCTTCATTTCTCTTCATTTTCAATTAGTTCTTATAAGAGATAAGTCAGACTTTTATGCTGTTTCTTTCGATGAAAGTCTTAACTCAGTTGTGCAAATGGGGCAGATGGATCTTGTTGTTAATTATTAAGATAGTGTTTGTACTCGTTACGTAGATTCAACCTTTATTGGACATATTTATTCTGCATAATTTTTTGTTGGGTTTGAAATCTTTTAATAAAACCAAACTAATTCAAGTATCTATGGATAACCCTATGGCAAATTGGGCTTTCTACTCTGAGTTACAAATCTATCGTGCCAAAAATGACATTATCAAACTGATCTGACTGATAGATGAATCAAAACTAGGTAAAACAAAACAGACTGAGGTATTAAAAAGATTTTAAAGGCTCTTTATAAACTTCTCCATGATTCTCTTGCAAAACGGGATGACTTTGCTATTGTGACTAAAAGTAATCAATTTCCTCTTCCTTTTTGTGGTACTCGATGGGTTGATGATAAAAAGGTGGCTTTAAGAGCTGTTAATATTCGGGAGAGCATTTGTAAAATATGTAGGTTTTGGGAATCTCTACCTAAGAGCAAGTAGCCTTCATGCAAGAGCTACCAAATTTTTTATCTGCTACTAAGGATCCTCTAATTTTAGTAAAATTTTATTTCTTTGCTCATATAGCTCATATTATGCAATCCTTTTTAACCATATATCAATATGCTAAACCTATGATGCCCTTTTTATTTGACGATCTTTATCGACTATTAAAAGACATAATGTCAAAGTTCATTACAGCTGATATTTTAGATCAATGTAAAACTGAAAATAGCCTCTGCAAATTGGATTTTACTCAAGAAAAAAACTATTTAAAAAAGCCAGATATTGGATGTGGGGCCAGTACTTTTATAAAGAATAAAAAGAATAAATGATGAAATCACTTCAAAAAATATTTTTGCTTTCAACTACAGTTGCATATGTTTTCTACAGTCGTTGACATGTAAGTTTGTGGAAAAATCGCCTTTAAAATATGCCATTGTGCGAAATGTAAAATGTTTTGACCCAGAAATAATGTGCAATGAAAAAATGGCAAATGACCATATGAAAGCTCTTGATTTAAACCCGGAATCTATAGTTATATCTAAGAAACTGAAAGAATCTGTCAAAAAATCACGAAGTCAACAAAAGATTGAAATGGCTACTCGAAAAGAAACTGAGCTTACAGATGCTCGAAAGTAAAAAAGTGATTTACTTGCTATAAACATAAAAGACTTACAAACTAATAAAAAATATACATTTTTAAAAATAAATTTAAATATTATTGCTTTACAACTTTTTTGATTTGGATTGCTTTACAATTTTTTTGATTTGGATTTTTAATTGCTTTACAATTTTTTTGATTTGGATTGCTTTACAATTTTTTCGATTTGGATTTTTAATGTATATAACTAAAATACGTAAGTTAAATTTAATTATTGCGTTAAAACACGATCAGTATTAAGTTCAATCTACCATATGCATTTTTTAAAAAATTGGTATCCGAATATCCGGATTTATTCGAATAATTTGAATTTTGAGTATTCGATATCCGGATAGTCATTACTATCGGATAATTGGAAACCCGAATCGCGACTAAAATTGTAAACTGAAAAAAAAAAAAAAAAAAAAGAATCTATATTATAAATAAATAATTATAAACAAAAAAATTTTTTCTTAAGAATCAATTTACAGAAAAATCTTAATCAGCCTCAATTTATTTTCAATTATTAAGTTTCACCGAAATTAGAATCAAGCAAAATCAGAGGATAATAATTTGTACAACATAAATAGTGGTAATTTGTTTAACAGAAATATAATAACATTACAACATATTTAATTAATTTTATTAGATTAGTTCAAAATAATACCTTTTCAAAAATTTTAGTCATTCGTTTAAAAAAGCATTTAGTTCTAAAATTAAATAAATTTAGGATTTAAAAAAAATCCGTTAGTTAACTTTTGGAGTTAACTAACGGTTAAAAAAAAAATTGCTTGCACCTCAAGTTTAAACAAATGACAACATTTTTAAGGTAGAACTTTCACTTTTTTATGCATAAAAATATTTTTTAATGACGAAAACAGATTTTTGTTAAGTTTGAAAATTTGAAGTTATTATTAAATATCAAATTAAAAAAAAATGCTACGGCCCACTCACATTATTAATTGCTTTATAAAATTATTTTGATAATATTCTTACACAATTTTATTTGTTGAATTTTATTTTAACAAATTTTTTACATAAAATCATTGCATTAAAATGGTATTAAAATTACAGATAACAAGTATACAAATATATCTATTATCTATACAGATAATATCGTTTACATATGTATTGCTAATGCATTGTTCAAAATATATTTAAAAAAATTATGCTTTCAGAAAATAAATTTAGAAAAAATCAGTAACTAAATTTTTATACTTTAAAATCCTCTTTTTAATAAATTTTTTAAATGGATATTTTTTAAATTAAGTAGTAAAAAATTATTTCAGATATGAGGTGAACGATACATAAGATTAAACATTACATTCAAAAATGATGAGGTGAACGATAAAGTTGCTCAAGCTTGTTTTTGCATGAAGGCTCTAACAAGATACTATTTGTGCGTATAAATCTATAAAATGAGAAAACTTGGAAATTTTATTTTAAATCTTAGAAATCTTTTTTTTATATTCTTATTTTTTTGCTATGAATATATAAGCAACATTAAAAAAATTTTAAAATTTATTACGCTAAGAGGAGGTCTTAAACCCTCCAAAACAACATCATTGTTGTTTAAACAAGCGCATTTAAACACTGCGTTATCAATGAAATGCATTTAGCAGAAAAACAAACTTAATTATAAACCTCTTATAAGCTCCGTATGCGGAAAAGGTGCGCATGTTAAGTTTTTTGCTCTTAAACTATTTTACTAAAAAATATTGAAGTATATAAGGAATAGGTAAAGAAATTTTTGGCTAGAAATAGATATGTAAATTGGTAAAGACCTGTATTTTACGGATCCTGGAAAGCTAGGATATATAAGGAAAAAGTATAGAAAAGTTCGGTTCGGATAGATATACAAAGACCCGTATTTTTACGGGGCCGATCTCAGCTAGTCATTGATAAATTGTGCGGCCTTGGCGCAGTGGTTGGAGCGCTTGCTTTATAAGCAGGAGATCCAGGTTCGAAACGAGCTCTGGACATATTTTCGCGTCACGATAAGTAAGGAGGCGTGAACTTCCTCGTTAATTGCACTTCTACGGTTCTCTGTGAAAAGACCGTTAGTTCTTCTTGGGGCATCTAAACAACAAAAAAAAAAAAAAAATGAAAAAAAAAATAAAAAAATAGTGTAACGTTTTTAAAACAATTGCTAACTTTACGGTTTAGCTAAATTTCAATTAGGCGTTTAACAGATAATAAGTTTTACATATGTTTTTTTATAAATTTTATTTAACTGCCGCAAATATTATGCCGCATTATTATGCCGCTTTATATTATTATCTACTACCTAATGTTCGTTGAAAATTATAAAAAAATTCTTTTTTAAATTATTATTTTAAATAATTGTAAATATTAATGCTAAATATTTACAATTATTTAAAATAAGAAATCTTATTTTTAACATTTATTTCAATTTTTTAAAGCTTTCGCTTTTTTAATTCTTTTTTTGTACCAAATATTTTAACTTGGCAAAAACAAATTCAATGTTAGTTATGGAATTGCACCTTACTACAGGAACTTTTTAAAAATACAAGTCTGTGCATCAGACTGTTGTCATCAGGCTAGCTGTTTGTTATGTCGAAAGTTTGAACAAAGTTATTCAAATGGTTTATATAGTGTGGATTTATCTAAACAAGTACAACTACGTATGCATGGTTTTAATGTGAACCGGAAGGTTCTCAGGGAAATGCAATTGGAAAGAGACAAAGCTGGTTTGAGTTAATTTGTAAACATTGTTGTCATAGAAATATAGCCAGATTTAATAAAGATAATTAATTTCCAGCAGAACCTATTATCTTTTAAAAGGCCGTCGTCAAAGAGCTGTTTGGTTTTAAAAAAACGGAGTTACCGATGTCTTTTAGTATAAAAGCTTTTATTTTTCTTCTATATCACTCCTTTTGAGTCCAGAAAATCTGAAAAAAATATCAAACAGATGATCCTATGTTGTCTTATCTTGGCAAGGACCTGGAGATGCTGCATAAATCCCTAATTCAGTTGGTTGTTAAAACTGATATTTTCCTTAAATGTTATTCTGTTCTTAACTTATTAGAGCTTTATATTACTAATAAAAGTATTTATCTAGAGATAAAAGATATTCATTTAGTTTCTCAACTTAAGAAAAACTTCAGGATTCATTAGATCAAGATAAAGTAAAATCTGCAGATGTAAAAAAAATTAAAGAAGGACGCTATTAATATGGTAATTTTTTTATTGGAGAAAATCACTCGAAAAAGTTCATTACATCATTTCATGGTATGAATTGCAAATGTGTTTGATTAAAGTTCCTGTATATGACCAATCCAATTGATAGATCCAAATTCTGTATGCAACTGGTCAAATTACGAAGCAAGATGAAACAACTCTTGACTCATTGAAGATTATTAATGCAACTTTAGCAGAGAAAGTTTTGCCATAATATTCAGTTCTGTTGGCAGTGTTATCTCAAGATCTCGAAATAGTAGAGTTTTCAAATTGTGAAAGCGCTAGACTTAATAAATAATTTTTCATAAACCCACTATACATATACCAAAAAATTAAAATCTATTTTGCTCTTATATTGGTTTTAGTTACAAGTCATAGTAAAACAATGGTAGAGAAGACTTTATGTTATTAAGATTGTAACCAATATATAAGCAAATAATATAAAGAAAGATGGCGGGTAGGCCATGTGTAAAAAAACAACCTGATACCTTCAACAATGAAACTAACAAACAAGTTTATAAGGTTTGTGAAAGGCGCGTGCCTAAAATATTAGCTAGACCTTGATCAAAAGAGAAATATATTTATAAAAAAAGCAGTTTAAATTTTGTTAGAGAAATAGAAAAAAAAAAAAGAAAATAACGCAAAACTAATCTCCCTTTTTTAAAAGATATTACTTTATTGTAGCTATTCCTTTTCTTTATAAATTAATTGATTTTCAAGATAAAGTTATAAAAATGTAAAACTTTAAAAAAATTTTGTCATAAAAAAGACTTTTTTAATTAGTTTGTGAAGTGTAAATAAATAAAAGCCTTAAATTATAAAACATACATGATCAGTCAAATACGCGGTTTTATTATATATGTGAGTCTCATTGCATGCCAATGTAAATAATTTTTTTAGATGCTAGTGTCGCTGCAAGTCAATGTGAGTTTTTTCTGGAGACTATTTATAATTATTTCAATATATAGTTGGTGAGTCAGGGGTAAAAGGGTAGTTTTTTGGAAAAAGTCAGGAGGTAAAAATTGTTTTTCAAGAAAAAGAAAGTCAGAGAAGTTACTTATATATTTGAGTTGAGAGAAATTACCATATTTGCAGTGTCTTTCTTTAACTTTTTTTACATCTGCAGATTTCACTTTATCTCGGCGCAATAAATTCTGAAGTTTTTTTTAAGTTGAGAAACTAAATGAATATCTTTTATCTCTAGATAAATACTTTTATTAGTAATATAAAGCTCTAACAAGTTAAGAACAGAATAACATTTAAGGAAAATATCAGTTTTAACAACCAACTGAATTAGGGATTTATGCAGCATCTCTAGGTCCTTGCCAAGAAAAGACAACATAGAATCTTCTGTTTGATATTTTTTTCAGATTTTCTGGCTGCAAAAGGTGTGATATAGTAGAAAAATAAAAGCTTTTATACTAAAAGACATCTGTAACTCCATTTTTTTACAACCAAACAGCTCTTTGACGACGGCCTTTCAAAAGATAATAAGTTCTGCTGGAAATTAATTATCTTTATTATATTTGGCTATATTTCTTTGATGACAATGTTATTCATTTTTTTCCCTAATTATTTCAAGAGCAATGTTCTGAATTTACATTCTAAACTTGGTAAACGTTTATAATACCCTTTAAATTATTAATAATAAAAAAAAAGATTGAAAAGAAATAAGTATATTCTTATTTCGGCATCATATATTTTACAAAAAAAAAAAAAGGTAAAGAAAAACTTCATACCTGATAAATGCTCAAAATTTAGAGAAGAATTATCTTCATTCATTTCAATCTAAAGAGTATTACAAAAATTTGTAGAGCGAAGCTCGTTTTAATACAATTCGGAGGGTTCTGTTCCAGAATTCAAAATAAGATATTGTTCGTTCGTATAATTCAGAATAAGGTGCACTTAAAGCGCATGCGTGTCAACTATCAAGGAATGCAATTTTTGTAAAATTCAAAATCTAATTTTGAATTATACAAAAGACCGTTAGCCGTCAAGCCATATGATATTGTTAAATTGTCAAATTTAAAACCACAGCTGTTTCAAGCGAGCTTTACGGCTTCTTGTTATTTTTTGAAAATATTCACGTTAGGGGTGTTACTAAAACTTTTATAACTTTTGAAACATTACAGATTGTTTTGTTCTGTAAAAAGAATAAAAACTCCAAAAACTAAAATGTTTTATTTGATGACGTTTTACAGATATATTAAAAAACTTCTTTAATTTTAGAATAAACGCGGCAAATGTTGAACTTGGCTAAATATTAGTAATTTGATGTTAAAGTTTTTTAAATTTATACACTAAAATTTGTCTGGCTAAAAAAGCTGTTTTATTAAATTTAATTACATAGTGAATTGGGAAGTAACGCATTTAAAGTTACGTCATTGCTTTAAAATATAAACAAAAATTTTACGCAACTGCAAAAAAAAACTTTATGCAACTACAAATTTTTGCTAAAAGCAACAAAATTTGCCAAGGTTGAAACCGTTTTAGTTAGAAATACAGAAAGTAATTTTTTTGATTTTCATGTGCAAAGAGGGTTGAAATTTCAATAAATTAGAGGGCATAAAAAAATTGAACATTTTTTATATAAAACAAGTAAAAACAAAAATAATAATGCTAAAGAAACTAACTTAAACTTTTTTTTTTTATCTATGCCATCCAAAAATCTGATAAAATAGAGATTCGTTCACAAGTATGTAAAATTTCAATCATCAAGCATGGAGCTTAAAATATCAAATCCTGATTGGCCCAAGACAGGTTTTCCGTAAAATACGCAAAAAATTGAATAGTGATCCAAAATCATTTAAAATATTTTAACAATGTTTATTTTTATTTCGTTTCATGTAAATATTTATTTAACAAAGAAAGATAGTTCGTTTATATTTTTTTAATTCGAAGATTAAAGCATTTTTAGACAAAAAATACTATTAATTTAAAGGTTGTGAATTTTTATACTTTTTATGCGGAAATTCTTTTTATTTTAAAAACAAAAAGTTTTGTGACGTCAAGCTCGCTTTTATATTAGCATTTAACTAGTCTGGAAACGCGGGCCTTTTTCTTAAAACACTTAAGTTCCTCTCTATACTAGTGCTCAGCCTACTTCAGAGTGCATCAAATTGTAAACATTGTATTTTGTGATAGATTATTACCTCCGCCTGAATTATCACCTCCCCCTATTGAAAACTCAAAACGAGGTTGCGCTTTCTGGTTATAGCTGTTAGATGTGTTCCTAAAACGTCCGGATTACCTACCGGATAACATAACATAATTAACATAAACATAAACAACGAAAATGACGCTTCGAGGACAAGAATTCGAGAAATAAAGTTTACTTGGTCTTTTGTGATGTTCCAATTCCATTTTTTTGAAAGGTAATATAAGGAAGGTTATATAAAAAAGATTGATAGTAATAGATATTATACAAATGTAATATAACTAGTTTACTTATTATAATTATAATTATTATACTTGCATAAAAATATTAAATTATTACCTCCCCCTTAGACTCAGGCTTGCTAAGACTTAGTAAATAACTTGATATGAGATGATACGATATTGGTATTGTTTGATAATGATAGAAATTGTGCATCTGTAAATTAATTAGTCACTTTTTTACTTGAAAATGCTTAAAACCTTTATATCTGTCTGAATTATCACCTCCCCTTTTGGAAATCACAAAACCTTCACCTGAATTATTGCCTCCCCCTTGTAAATCAGTCAATATAAGACGGTGTGATTATGTTATTTAGTGAGAAAGATAGAAATTTTACAACGGTCAATAATTAGTCATATATTTACATGAAAATACTCTACAAATATTTTTATATCTGTCTGAATTATCACCTCCCCCCTTAGTCAATCACTTTATATGAGATCGTGCAATAACAGTATTGTTTTATAATGATAGAAATTGTTTATTTGTAAATTAATTAGTCACTTTTTTACTTGAAAATGCTCAAAAAATTTCTTTGTATTTGTCTGAATTATCACCTCCCCCTTAGAAAATCACTAAACCTGCGCCTGAATTATTAACTCCCCCATGTAAATCAGTCAGTATAAGATGGTGTGATTATGTTATTTAGTTAGGAAGATAGAAATTTTACATCTGTAAAGCAATTAGTTATTTATTTACTTAAAAATGCTGTAAAAGGTTTTTTATATCTGTCTGAATTATCACCTCCCCCCTTAGTCAATCACTTTATATGAGATCGTGCAATAACAGTATTGTTTTATAATGATAGAAATTGTTTATTTGTAAATTAATTAGTCACTTTTTTACTTAAAAATGCTCAAAAAATTTCTTTGTATTTGTCTGAATTATCACCTCCCCCTTAGAAAATCACTAAACCTGCGCCTGAATTATTAACTCCCCCATGTAAATCAGTCAGTATAAGATGGTTTATTTTGTGACATTGTATTTAAAAATTTATTTTTTGTTCGTTTTTAGTGACTCATCATGTTATAGTGTGGTATTTTCTGAATGACTTTATGTGATAGTGTGAACGTTTTCTGACTGGCAGAAGGTAAGTTTTTCAGTTAGCAATTTACACTTTAAGTTAAAGCTCAACTTTATCATATTGTTTATTCACTATTGGAAAACCACCTTTATAATCATTTGAAGTTACGGAATACTTATATAAAGGTTTATTAGTTTTAAGTATTTTATTTATTATAAAGTTTATTAATTGTTTCAGGATATTCAGTTTTCTTTTTGCCCAACCTTGTCAGTCTGGTGCTAAAAAGGTAAGTTTAGTGTTATATCTTTAGAAGCTAATATTATTTCGGTCCTAATGGTAATGCACGCAAGTATGAATTAATTGTGTTAATGAATGTTTGTCTTGAAAGTTTTTATATGTCGGAATTATCACCTTCTCTTTGTAAATCACTAAAACTAGCGTCTGAATTTTTACCTACCCCTAATACATCAGTATAATATGAGATGATGTGATCATGGTGTTTTGTGATAATGATTGATATTATACAACTGTAAATTAATTAGTGATTTATTTACTTAAAAATACTCTAATAAGCTCTTTACATCTGTCTGAATTATCACCTACCCCTTGTAAAGTGTCTGATTTTTTATCTCCTAGTAAATTAATCAACATAAGATGCTATTGAGTAGAAGTGATCTTTTTGTTTTATTTTCTTATAAATGAATTCAAAAAATTGTGTTTGTATTGAGTTTTTTAATTATTGTTCCATGTTTTCATTTTAAACTTTGATTAATTGTTGTTGTTTCTGTTTTTTCCAATAATACGAAGTTCTAAGATTTTTTAAATTGTTTTTCTTTTTATTTACAGATTGATTTCAAATTGGTTTCTCAAATACGAGCAGACGATTTAGAAAGAAGAATCTCAAGTGTTTTAATAAATTTGATTTTCATTCAAAGTCAATCTCATGTAAGTTTGTATAATTGTTTATGTTAAATGTTCTTTTTTTATACTTTCATGTGTTGATATTTTTGTTTTTTTCATTAAACAGAATCAAATGGAGAATAAGATAATCAAAATGCCAAGATAAAAGATTAATGCTGTTATATAGAAAGAAAATGTAATTATTTGAACCACACAAAAAATTTTCCAAAGTTCAAAAGGATCAAAAATTTTGAAATATAAACATTATATAAGCAGTACAGGAAAAATGCATCCATAAAGAAGATCAAACACTTGAATCAATTGCGTACTGTACTGTTACTTGCGTAACCATCTGTTGCTAGAGTGTGGAAACTGGATGAACCTACTTTTAAAATATTTTTGCTTGCCAAACAAATCTTTTATTATTATATTTTTTTAATGTTCTCATTTTCTTTAATGTAGTCTAATCTCTTACTCTCTAATTTTTTTTTAATTTTTATTATGAAAGCAGTATTATACATTTTATCTAAATAATTTATAGATTCAAAATGTATATCTTTAACTTCAAGGTTCTATAGTATTTTTTAAGTAGATGAATATGTTTTAAGTAGATGCTGAAGTATATAGTCAATACATAAGCATTTACCTAAGTATATTTATATATTATGTATATTATGTATATTTATATTTTGTGTGTATTTTTAAAGTTATAAAAATTTCAAACTATGTCTTGTGAATACAAATATTTCAAACCATATACTTTGTTATAATAATTAATGATCAATTTCTTTAGAATATGAATTTTATATCACCCAGCAAAGCTGAAATGAAAAAAGATTAGTTTAACGAGAGAAAAAAAAAATATTCTTTAAAAATTATAAAAAAAAGATGAAGGAAAAAATGTTTAAAAGAAAATCGTAAAAAAAAGCATTGACGGATCCAAGGAGTGATCACTTGTGAAATTAATAAAACCAAATATCAATCAAAATTTCTTTTTGTTTATTTCTGTTTCGAGGATTTTATTGTCAATTGTTTTAATTTTTGCTTTTTGGGTAGTCGTGACCCTGACACTTTTGGAATCCCTATTTTAGGGGTGACCAACCGACCGGGGGATACCGGACCCATAACTGGCAACAGGCAAATCTATTTACATAAGCATTACAAATAAATATATATTTATTTTTGCAGTTCCATCAGAGAAGGATTTTGATTTTTTTTCGACCATTTAACTTTAGCGAATCCACCTTGAAACGTGTTTTTAAGGCGCTATTTGGTCGAAAATTGAATAAAAGAACAATTATACAATGTATAAGTTTACTTGAGAAATATTGCTGTACAAACCTTAATCTTAAAAAAAATGGGATCGTACCTGTTTTATTATATAGAAGAATATAAATATAATCTCATTTTTGTTGAGGTTGAGCATTGCAATGGCTTTTGAAAATGAATTGAAAAGACCTTCAGTTATAAGTAGCTATTCGGTTTTGTAATAATACTTATTTATTCCCTAATTAGGCAATAAGAAAATGCCGACAAAATAATTAGCAAAAGTTATTCCTCAAAAAAATATTACTAGGATTAGTTAAAATGTTTTTTAAATTTACTTTTTTGACACCTATTTCAAAATTATTGTAATGCTAAAATCCACAACCTTTTGCACAAGGAAAAAAATTGAATCGTAAATAATTCCAACGTGGATCATTGTTACAATAAGCCTAAAATATTTGTTAAAATCAAAGTCTTGTGGTTTTAACATATTTTTAAGTAAACCATTTTCAACGTTACTATAAAAAACAACCGTCTTAAATGCTCTGGCATTGTCCACAAACCAGTAATTAAGTTTTTAGGAAGCAATTGTGGCAGTTTTAACCCACGCAAAATTACAAATTTGTTGCATAAATACCTTCTTATGTTTCAAACAAATCAGTAATTCAGTGTTGTTAAGTGGGTTGGTTCTGTCAACGATGTCAAACGGTGAAAAAAAAGAAATTTATTTCAATAACATCTTTAAATACTTAACAGAGAAGACTTATCCGGCTGGTTTTAAAAAAAATGAAAAACGATGTCTAAGAGATGTATCTCGAAGTTACGTTGTGCAAGGTAATTTAATTTTTTTGCAACATTTAGTTTAGTAAAAATATTGTTCCATGCTACCAAAAAAATGTATAACAAACTTTATTCAAGAAGGTAAGCTGAAACGGAAAGTCACAATAAACGGAAATTCTTATGTCGCGGATATTATACTTTGTGAAGAAGAAAGAATTAAGATTTTTACTGAGGAACACGGTAGCCCTTTGGGAGGGCATAGCGGTGAAACAAAGACGAAGTCAAAAATTATGGAAAAATACTACTGGCCAAATATGACTACGGATATTATAAAATGGGTTGGTAATAATCAATTAAAAAAAATTAATCAGTTAAAACTGAATTAAAATTGCAACTTTTATTGTAACAGGTAAAACAATGCAAGCAATGCCAAACAGCAGGTGCACTTATTTCATCAGCAGAGCCATTACGTTCAATAAAGGTTAGAATGGTTTTTATAACAGTAAAAAACTTTATTTATAAAACCAATACTTTGTCCAATGATTCTACAGAAAAGAAGAATACATTTTTTAAATGATATTCTTCTATATTATAGAAATTTTTTTTTCATCTTAACTAATTGCAACTCTCTCTGAAATCCATCTCACTGAAACATAAATTTTGTTAGACAAAGCTTCTGCATAATAAATTAAATTGAGTGCGTTACGATCCAAGAATGCCATTCGACCATAAAAAACCTTAATCATGAAGCGAGCAGTTTAACTCCTTACCTAATATAGAATAATTTAGATTCAATTTTAAGCAGCATAATAAGGTCTTGCTATACTGTTTATATTTAATAACTTTAGACAACTCGAGTATGGGAAATTGTGGGTATTGATTTTGCTGGACCCTTTACAGAAACAGCAATGGGCAACAAATATTTTTTAAGTTGCACAGATTTGTTTTCCAAGTGGCCGGTTGCATATGCTTTACCAAATAAAGAAGCCACCACTGTTGCAAAGGCTATTATTAAATTAGTTACAACTTTTGGATTTCCTTCGGTAATACTTTCAGATAATGGAACTGAGTTTTGTAATCAGGTAAAAATAAATTAAAATAATGATAATGAAACCCTAAGGGTTTGTTAATTTTTGTTACTAATCCTAATTTTTTAGTTAAACCACGAAATGTACAAAATGCTGGATATTGAACGAAGAAAGACAGCCGTTTATCACCCACAGTGCAACGGACAAGACGAAAACACCAATAAAAATCTAAAAAGGTTATAATGTTTTTTGTTTTGGGTGAGGACTGCTTAAGTGATTAATAATTTCTACTAAGCGCATCTTAAAATGTAACCATTCTTGTTTTGTCAAACGTGTTCTTTATTTATAATACTTCCATATTTACTGAATAGTTAGAATTTATCAAATTTATTTTATTGCATATTATGTTTATATGTATATTACAAAATTATTTAGATTTTCATGTCAGTTATTAAATATTAACGCTTTTTGTACTTTTAGAAAGTTAAGAAAACTGGTTAATGAAAATCAAACTAATTGGGACGAATATGTTGATATTGTTTTGTACCCACTACGAGTGGAGAGGCAACAATCTACAAAAGTATCCCCTTTTGAAATAATGTTTGGTGGTCGGTCACCTGTTTGTACTAGTGAATTTGAGGAAGTAAAATTTTTTTTATTATTTATTCAAACAATTTATATCACACACGTACACATGTCACCAAATTGTGTTAAAAGTATAAAATTTTCTTTGAATTGTTGTCAGTTAATTTATAAAATCAATGTATAAAAAAATATATCGTAAGTTTTATAATTTATTTAAAGAACAAAATATTTGTGAATGCAACAGATGATAATATAACGAGTGAAATGGAAAAAAGCAAACTTCGCATTGAAAATCTCACAAATTTGGTTTGTAAGGTTCGATGTTATAGCATTATTAAATAGCAATAATAACATTGAATAATATGAAAGCCAGGTACGTACCAATTGCGTTTGTTAGCAATTTAGCAAAATTTAATTTTAGAACATCAAAGATGCTCAAAACAAGCAAAAGATACATTACGATAAAAAAGTATTGAAGTGTAAAAAAATTGAAAAGGAATCCATTGACGTTGAAGATAAAGTATTGTTACTTGACATTAGGGGTCGCAGATCAAAAGGTGCAGCATTAAAACCACGTTTTAAAGGTCCGTTTATTGTTTCTCATGTAACACAATGTGGGAACTTTAGATTAAAAGATGATAAAGGTATGCAAATATCAGGAACGCACAAAAAAATACATATAAAAAAATTCATTGAAAGTACTGATGTAAAAGGTATAGATGTTTTCACTATATATATATATATATATATATATATATATATATATATATATATATATATATATATATATATATATATATATATATATATATATATATATATATATATATATATATATATATATATATATATATATATATATATATATATATGTATGTATGTATGTATGTATGTATGTATGTATGTAATGTATGTATGTATATATTGAAGTTCTTCGTTTATCTGTTTGTTAGCTAGAAACAATGATGAAAAAAAATCTGTTTTTCTAATTTTTTTTTTTTTTTGTAGATGATGTCAACGTTACAGATTTGAGCAATAATGATACTTCAGTAAAAAGAACACAAAGTAGTTAACACTTTACGCCGAATAACATGCAATTTTTTAAATTCTTTTCGTTTTATACTTAAAAAACAAGGCAAGTTATATTAATTTTAAAATTTAATCGATTATTTTATTTTATAGAGTTTGACGATTCAGAAGTAAGCGACAGCGGTAAAAGCTGTATTATTGAAAACAGTGAAGGTATATTTTATATGACGTGCAACTGAAGTGAGCAAAATTTTGAATTTTTAGGTGTTTTTCAAATCAAAATTGTTTATTAAATACACTATTAGTAAAAGTAGAAAAAAAATTCATATTTTATGCAGGATTCGAAATAATCGAATGCCTAAAAAATCTTAAACCGATAAAAGCAATAATGGGTATATTTAAAGAATTGGGAGACAGCAAAATATACGACTACTCATTACAAGAAACTCTAGTTGATTGTTTGAGTGATGAAACAGTTTACGTTTATCTGAGTTTACTTGCTAGTAATCAAGATAAGGTAAGTTTTATGAAAAATTACGCAATTATGTTATGAAAATATTTTAATGTAATGTAACATACATTATTTAAAACTAAAATTCTGAATTTTAAGCCAGTTTACAATACAATATTTCTTATAAAACATGTAAATTTAAAAACTATTTTTATAAATAAAACATTATAACATGATTTACAATGCTAAAATTCACAATTCTTTTTTTCATGTAAGAACAAAATTGAAGTACTAGCACCAGCCGGATTACTTTCACAAGAAGTGTTACCAAATAAAACAGCTTTGATTCGAAGGAAAAATTTGGTATTAAACATTTTCACTGAAAAAAAAAAATTGAGTGTTATTAAAATATTTAAAGCATTAATTAAAAAGTAAATATAGATAGATAAGCGTAACAAGGCGAATGGTTAGGGAGTCGCCTTTTTTCCTTTAATCCTACACATGAAGAGATTCATGCGCATATGGCCGTTGTAAGGTCGATGCAAGCATAAAAAAAACATTAAATATTAAGGATAAAAGATCCTTCACATAATCGCCTGGTTATGCCACTAAATACTTATTCATAACACATGCGGTATTAAAATAAAAATCTTATTTATATGCAGGATGAGTTGTTAAAACTAGATATTCTTATATGCTGTGTTGTTGCAAAACATCATTGGACGCTTACAGTGAGTAAACTCTTTAATATTTAATGATCTATTCATCAAAATGGATGAATGAATGAAACAGGTTAGATAAGCAATATATATCTAAGTATTTCAAAGAATAAAAATAATATAAATAATATTTATAAATATAAATATTTCATAATAAAAAAATAATACAAACTTTTTTTAAAAAATTATTCAATTGGAAAGAAACTAGGATTAAAATGTTGAAATTGTTATTTCTTCTAGATAATCAAACCAAAGGAAAAGAGCTTTTATTACATCAATCCTCTAGGCGAAATCTTATCTTCAATAAAAAAAGAAGAAATAAAATGGAAGTATGAAATTATTCAATAAGCAATGCATGACTAAAATAGTATAAAACCTTAATACATAATGGTTATTTAGATAAAGAAACTATTTCTTTTTTTCAATTTCAGTAACTATTTGAAACAAAGGTATGGAATTTCAGAAACATTTAAAATAATAACATTGCCACATGCACTGCAAAGAGACAGCATATCGTGTGAAGTCTTTTGTCTTAAAGTAATGTGAAATACTTTTTATTTTTTTACAATTTTTATAAAAGATATATAGTTCCATTATTTTTAATTCATCATAAAGATAGCAGCAAATATCTTCAAAGTCTAATCAAAAGCTGCATCAGTTTTTTTTTATAATGAATCTGGATAGTGATGCAATAATAAGACTAAACCCAAATAATATTGATGCCAATGAGCAGTACTCATTAACGGTATACCAATTGAGCTATCCAGTAACTAAATAAATACAGCTCTATTACCATATATGCCTACCAGCAAATTTTTAATTCGAGTGTTCATTGTTTAGAGGCAACTTCAGACTCTTGTTATCTCCTCCTCCTCCCCCCCCTCCCTATCATCCACTTTGAAAAATTATCACAAATTTTTTAGGTAGCTCAACCTAAGCCGAGTTTAATAAAACATTTGTTATAGTTAAGAGTTCTAAATTAAAATTTTTTAGTTTGCTGAAAACTTTATGAATGGAGAAGAGTTGGCAATGTCCTTCCCATTAGAAGAAGTAGTTCTATATCGAAACAAGGTGGTGCACTATCTTATAGATAGAGGAGGTTTGTTATTTATTAAATTGTTTAATAAAAATATAAATATACCTGTAAAAAAATAACAGTTGACAAAATTTAAACTCAGGTCAACATAATTGGAAAGATGTTTTGTGTCGCATATGTGGTAATGCAAAAGGACCAAAAAAATATAAAAAGCAAATAATAGATAAATGGGTATAAGATTTGTATTATCTTTAAATCTCATTTTATTTCTAAATTTAAATAATAATCATGAAACTATATATATGATTTATTTATAGATTAGGTGTGATAAATGCTTACCAAGTCGATGGTATCACATGAACTGCATTCCAAATGTAACAGAAAGCAGCAAATCGCTTACCTGCACAAACCTTTCTCAAAACAATCAATTAAATTAAATAATAACAGTTAAAATAAGATCCATAATTAAAACATTAAATAACAATTTTTTAAAGTAATTTTTAATAAAATTATTTACAATATTGTTTTAATATTTTTATACAAACTTTATTTTGATTCTATCTATCATAAATTTTGATATATATATATATATATATATATATATATATATATATATATATATATATATATATATATATATATATATATATATATATATATATATATATATATACATCATATTTACAAATATAACACATACACACACACGCACATATATATAAATGTTAATTATTGTATAAAGAGTGTATAAAAAAAACTATAGTCTTTATACCAATGTGGTGTATTCATAATAAACTAGTCCTTTTATTCCTCTGTCAGTGTTTACACATAAATGTGGTTCTATCTCTTCTATAAAACAAATTCACAAAGAAATGAAATCAAAGTTAAAATTAAAACCTTCTATGCAAAAAAGTTAAATAAAAAATAAACAAAGAAAAAAAAAAATTATTAACACAATTAATTCATACTTGCGTGCATTACCATTAGGACCGAAATAATATTAGCTTCTAAAGATATAACACTAAACTTACCTTTTTAGCACCAGACTGACAAGGTTGGGCAAAAAGAAAACTGAATATCTTGAAACAATTAATAAACTTTATAATAAATAAAATACTTAAAACTAATAAACCTTTATATAAGTATTCCGTAACTTCAAATGATTATAAAGGTGGTTTTCCAATAGTGAATAAACAATATGATAAAGTTGAGCTTTAACTTAAAGTGTAAATTGCTAACTGAAAAACTTACCTTCTGCCAGTCAGAAAACGTTCACACTATCACATAAAGTCATTCAGAAAATACCACACTATAACATGATGAGTCACTAAAAACGAACAAAAAATAAATTTTTAAATACAATGTCACAAAATAAACCATCTTATACTGACTGATTTACATGGGGGAGTTAATAATTCAGGCGCAGGTTTAGTGATTTTCTAAGGGGGAGGTGATAATTCAGACAAATACAAAGAAATTTTTTGAGCATTTTCAAGTAAAAAAGTGACTAATTAATTTACAAATAAACAATTTCTATCATTATAAAACAATACCAATATTGCATATCTCATATGGAGTGATTGACTAAGGGGGGAGGTGATAATTCAGACAGATATAAAAATATTTGTAGAGTATTTTCATGTAAATATATGACTAATTATTGACCGTTGTAAAATTTCTATCTTTCTCACTAAATAACATAATCACACCGTCTTATATTGACTGATTTACAAGGGGGAGGCAATAATTCAGGTGAAGGTTTTGTGATTTCCAAAAGGGGAGGTGATAATTCAGACAGATATAAAGGTTTTAAGCATTTTCAAGTAAAAAAGTGACTAATTAATTTACAGATGCACAATTTCTATCATTATCAAACAATACCAATATCGTATCATCTCATATCAAGTTATTTACTAAGTCTTAGCAAGCCTGAGTCTAAGGGGGAGGTAATAATTTAATATTTTTATGCAAGTATAATAATTATAATTATAATAAGTAAACTAGTTATATTACATTTGTATAATATCTATTACTATCAATCTTTTTTATATAACCTTCCTTATATTACCTTTCAAAAAAATGGAATTGGAACATCACAAAAGACCAAGTAAACTTTATTTCTCGAATTCTTGTCCTCGAAGCGTCATTTTCGTTGTTTATGTTTATGTTAATTATGTTATGTTATCCGGTAGGTAATCCGGACGTTTTAGGAACACATCTAACAGCTATAACCAGAAAGCGCAACCTCGTTTTGAGTTTTTAATAGGGGGAGGTGATAATTCAGGCGGAGGTAATAATCTATCACAATTTCGCTATAGATAAGTTACATATATTCTGGGATAAATATTGAAATGGATGAACAAATTGTAATTTTTTTGGTTATTCATTTTCAAGTTAAAATTTTGGATTGCATATATATTTCGTAATCCGAATAAAAATGATGAATATAGAATAAAATAAAGACATCAACTGTTGATAAATGTAGTTATGTGACAGAGTTTGTAGTGGTATTAATATGCTTATTCAACCATATAGCTTATATCATATCAGCATTAAAATTATATACTATATGAAAATATGTTAGAGATGTAAACATTTCATTGCTTGTATAACTTGATGGATGTATATGGGTATAAATGCTTTGTATTATATTCAGAGTATATTTATTTAAAATGTTAGCTAATAGAGCTTAATAAACTCTATATTCTATATATAGTTTAATTAGCTGGATTAATTGATAATTTATATATCACTCTTTACACTATGTTGGCATTTTTTATGGAAACAAGAAAAAATCAGTTACAATTTTATTATTTTGAATGGTTTCAAAGCTAAATTAGATAATGTTGGTATCTTTTAAGATATGTGTCATACCCTTAACACAGCATATTTATCTACCTTAGAAAGAAAATTATATTTTAATTATTACCTAAATTATATTAAAAATAATGATTTGTTGTTTAATTTTCTATCTTACAAGGAAAAAATTTTTACCTTTAAAGATAAAAATTTTTATTTTGGAAGGTAGAAGACTTAACCTTACTATGTGCATATCACATATTCTACACTACGGTAGAACTTCTACCTTTTTTACAAGGGCTATACTAACAATAAATGTTGTGTGAAAAATGTTTTTCTATTTTTATTAACAAGTGAAAAACTTAATCGGTAGAAAAAATTAGGATTTTAATAAATACTTTAAAAATAGCTTGTATATAAATTTTTATTTTTATTATGCTGTATTGCAATTTATGCTTTATTGCAAATAGCAACTAAAAAAATATACTTGATACAATAAAGATGATGCAAAAGTTTGCTACCAAATATTGCATCACTACCATACATAAATCAAATTTAATTTAATTATAAAAAAAGTACAGTGTATTAGAGAAGATTACAGAATTCTATTTAAAAATCACAGTGTATTAAATTAAGTTACAAAATTTTATTTCAAATCTTAATTTTAAGCTATAATTTAATATCTATTTTGTTGAATGCAGAAAAATAATATCTCAAAATCTAAGGTTATCTTCAACTAAAATAAGATATTTCATGTTAATTATCTAGTTTCAAAGTCAGCTGCAGTGTATGATGATATACTTGACTAATCTAGATGATATACTTGACTTTTACAACTGGTGCCACTGCATGACAAATGTTTCTTTTGCTTTAGAAAGCAATCAAAATTTGCAAACTAATTTTCTTAAAAGTTGTTGCTTGTAACTTGCGATGTTTGTGCAAATCACAAGTTGTTGAATAGGCATTTTAAATGATTCATTTATGCCTAATCCACCACATTAAAATAAGACAACTTGTTACTGTCTTAATTAAATATGACTTATCCAACTTAAAACATATGGAAAAAAGAGATATATGTAAGGATGGTAAGTTTATACAGTGGAACCATGAAGACAGAGAATGTGGCCTTTGTATTTTACCTAAACTTACTTTTGAGCATATAAAGTTGACAAAATATTTATTAAAAAGTGTTAACTTTGCTGCCTAAGTAATAAGTTTTTGCTGTATTAAAAATTTTATTACATTGTGGAAAAGCTTATCTTAAGATTATTTCCGACACTAACAATCACTTAGTGCTTGCAAGGGTAACCTATCATTTAATAACTTTCAATAATAACAAAATAAAAAATATTTTTAGTAGCTGGAAATGTAATGTATTTACCTACACAGGTATTATAGAGTGGTAGTAATATAGTATTTAGTCATGCCAAAAAAAAAAAAAAGAAGTTATTAGATTTGTTCAAAACTAAATATTTTTTAGATATGTAAAATAGTAGTGTTGTCATTATTATTTTAAAATTAAAAAGACAATTATGTTATTTTTATTATTCAATCTTTTATTGTTGTTTTATTACAAAGTTATGACACCATAAAACTATTAAATATACATGAAGCATTTATTGTACTAATCTAGGAGCTAATTATATACCAATAATATTTTTAAAAAATATGTGGCTATGAAAATAGCCGCTTTAGTAGGTTCATCTCACTTTTTCTTTAATGTTCTTGTTCCAAAATATTCCAAATTATTCCAAAAATAGAGGGTGTTTTTTAATTGATGTTCTTTATATATCAATTTAGTTTGACTTTTTTGAATTTTGAAAGCTTTCAGGTTATATTTTGCAATGTACAATCTACGAACTTGAATGTAAAATGTTAGATGATCATGCATACTTAGCTGCAAGCAAATACGATAAACACTGCTCATTATACAACTTAGACATGTTAGAATTAAAACCAATTGTAAAATTAGAGGCCCAAAAACATTCCCACTAAGTCATAATAGAATGTTTTGTTTAGTAATGTAGATGAATACATGCTTAAATGTTATAATATCATTGATAAAAAAGGTGCCAGTCAAATAAACAAAGACAAGATTTGCTACTTCAAAGCATAAAAGAAATTGTTTTTTCAGAAAAAGTTTTGTAGAATCGATTCTACAAAATATTTTCTGAAAAAAATAATTTCTTTCATGTTTTGAAAGCATTCATGTTTTGAATGCTACTTCATGTTCTTTCATGTTTTAATCAGTGGTAAAAAATTTTAGCATTTCAAACAAATGAAGCAGTTACATTTTAATAGGAACTAAGCTGTAATGACTTCTTCTTGAAATAATTGAAATATAATACTTGATTTTAAACTTTTAATGTCAGCTTGTAGCAAAGTACCAATTATCTGAAGCAAGCTTTACTGCAATCTTGATTAAATAATTATAAAATCTTATAGGTTGAAGAATAATTTTTGCTTTCTTTTATTCTTTACTAAATGTTTATCAATAATCTTGTCCTTGTTCTTGGCGTTGAGGTGACGAGTCACCGTGTGATATACATTGTTTCTTGCAAAACAAACACATAAATATTCTTTCTTCACTTTGGTTAGGATAAATTAAAATAGGTAGTCTAATGTTTGAACTAAAATCTGCCTTCAACAAATAACAACTCAATAGCAACTAAAACAGCATCGAATTCATTCAAATTTTCAAAGTCTGCGCTACAAAAAGTCATTTTAAAAACATTTGATGCACTCTCAGTCCGGTCACCCCTTAAAGCTCAAGTTATTTTACGAAATCTATAGAAAACGGCCCGCGTTTCCAGACTAGTTAAATACTATGACTATGGTTAAGAGTGTAATCGTATGCGCAAGGCATTCTGGGATGTCCTGGTAGTATAAGAATTAAGTTTACAACAACAAACTTGGCTGAAACTCTGCAAAGTTTTCTGTTTTATATTGCGTTATTCTTTAATAAATAATACTCTTTGTTGTTCAGAAATGCCTTCAAACTGTGCTGCAACCAACTGCGCAAATACGAGTGGAATTTTTGCATCAATTATTTTGAAAGTTCAATTTTTATTTAACAAACACTGAGGGAAAATGCCTTCTCTATAATACCATTTCTACAGTATTTATGTTTTAAATATAGTCTCATGGCATCACATTCAGATGATGTATAAAATAGAAAGATGTAAATGCAGTTCTATCTGTCATACAATTCATGAAATTCTTGGAGCATTGTTTGAATTAGTTATAATTGTCAACTGTTATACTGACTTCTTATTGACCAACCAATTTGTTGATAAAAATAATACTCATTTTAATTTAATAAATTCAAAGAAGTTTCATGCTGATAAACCTGCTATATGTGATATAACAAAAAAGCAAAATAACACGTTACAAAGTAAAATAACATGTTACTGTTGAGTATATTTCAACTTCGGATTAAGAAATGAATGTCTTGCATTTTAAAACCTCTACCTCATTAGAGAATAAATGTTACAATAACTAGTATGTTAAAATGGTGTCAGGAGCTTTTAAAAAAAATTATTTAGAAAGTTTGATTAGAATTATTCAGAGCAAAGATGGTTGAAAAGACTTTCAAACAATTTGGATTAGCTTACCTGAATGTTTTGTTGTTGTTGTCATTATAAACTAGCAGCTTTAAAAACAATTGTCTTAAAGAAATAGATTTTAGCGTTGTACTGCATATAAATGCTTTATTTACACTTAAAAAAACTAAATAAACAAGATTGCCTATTTTTTGCTGACAAAAAAAAATCAATTTTTATAAAGAAAACTATTGTTCAATGCGTGCAGATTTATCTAGCTTGTTAAAAAAGGGGTCTGACTGTGTCAACAGTGTGTGATAATACTTTTTGGAGAAGCGATGGATATTAGGCATGGTTTTGAGACCAATATGAAAACAAACAACCAAAATTGTTCACCAAAATCTTTATTTATATCATTGATTTGTTATATTCTATTTAACATTGTTTATGGAATTTATTGAAAAGTGGCTTCGTGCTAAAAACCTAGCTTTTAGATGTTATTTAAAATCATGGAATTCTGTACTTTTAACGTTTAATTTAAAGATTACTTTTAACATACTTTTTACTAATAAAAAAAAAAGTTGGGATATTTGTCAGAACAAGAATTTTGTCTATTATTCGGCTGTACAAGATCTATGTAAAGGAAATAAAAAAAAAACTTCAATATTGATAATTATTAAATAATGCCTTTATGTTTTTCTTTTAACAATCTGTTTTGATTTTATGAGTTAATGTGTATGTATATACACACATACAAACATACATACCTACATACATACATACATCATGTAGTTATTTATAAATGTATGTAAATACATACATACATTTATATATATATATATATATATATATATATATATATATATATATATATATATATATATATATATATATATATATATTATATATATATATATATATATATATATATATATTGAATATATATTATATATTTAAATATATATATATATATATATATATATATATATATATATATATATATATATATATATATATATATATATATATATATATATATATGCATACATATGTATGTGTGTGTGTTTAAACTTTAAAATTGAAAATGATAACTTGCTATGTAAATATTACATGGTAAATTATTTTATCAAGTTTCGTTCGAAGATTTTCAAATTGGTTTATTATTATGACCCGATAAGCTTTATTAAGACATGATATATTTAATACTAATCTGTGATATTGCTGCTCTTTTGAAAAATGAGAAACCTATAATTCTAATATGGAATTTTTATGAGAAAGTTATATGAGAAACCTATAATTCTAATATGGAATTTTTAAAAATAATGTCTAAATAGTATAAAAGAATAAGATTAATTCTATGAATAGTTTACAAAATGATTTAAGCGCAATCAACGTTGAAAACAACGTATTTATTTGTTTTTAAATGTTATACTACCAGGGTATCCCACAATCCTCTGTAAACAAATTACAAGTTTTTACGCGAGTCGACAGCCCTTGTTATAGGCTGTTCACACGAGGGTACATTTGATGGAACATTCCGTGGAACATGGAACATGAACAAATATCCTCTCGTGTGAACGCAAATGGAACAAATATTCAAGGAACATTTGAGGAACTTTTGTACCGTCCCGCCAACCCAGAACAAATAAATGTTCCGGAACATTTATTTGGTTTTGTATAAAAAAATGGTGCCTATTTTCAACTATTTTTAAAATATACGTATGCATATAAGCTAAATGATTCAATAAAAATGCATTGCAAGATGCAAATTTGTTGTGAAAGTAACTTAAACTATTTTTTTTACAAAGTTGTTGTCATCTTAACCAGAGTTTTTAGTCCTTGGTCATATATCAAGACAAGATTATCGATATACTATTTGCCTTTCAAAATGTTGCCTTAAAACTTTTAGTTTTTGCCTTCCATCTTTTTTATTGAATTCAAAACATTTCTTCGAATATAATTTCATATCTTTATTCATTGAGTAAAAACTTGTGGTAATTTCATGCAACCAAGGAAATTCCGATCCCACTCGTGTGGAATCAATCATGAGTAGACCAGATGGTGGGCAATTATTTAAAAACAATTATTTGACCATCACAAATTTCAAGTTATTTCTAACGATATTAAAAATTTGTATAAATAGAATAGAAATTTAATTATTAGTGTATTATTAAATTAAAAAAAAGTTATATATGTGTGTTTAAAAACTTAATCTTAAAATATAACATTACAAAGATAGTATTATTCTTATTAAGATCAGTTTTAATTTGAATTAACATTTAACTTGCGTTAAGAAAGTTTAATTTTCATTGTTTAATAGTTTTTGTTTAATTATATTCTTTGTAAGCATTGTTATTAATACATTTTTAATAAACTTATAGTAATTTTATTTATAAAATTCAACTTTGAACTAAGCAGAGTTGTTTATCATTGGCCTTGCCAACAGTGATAACAATAATAAAAATAATTATTATTATTGTTATTATTATTTATATTAATATTATTAATGATATTATTATTGGTATATATTGTTATATATGAGCTTTGTCGTATATTTTTTTTATATGTCATGTATATTTTATTATATTAGCTTTGTCTTATCTTGTTATTTTAATTTGTGAACATTACCATTAGTATTTTCCTCATAAATATTCTGTATTTACTTAATATTAGTTAATTTACTGTTTGTGAATAATTGTGAAAGTAAGACCTTTATTCAGAATATATATTATTGATTGACTGTATTGATATGACTGTACCTTATATCTTTGCCACAATGTACTACAATTATTGACATTTAAAAATAAAAATAAACAGTGTTGAAAGATCAATGTTATTAAATAACATAATTATCACATTGCATAGAAAAGTAAAAAAAAGTAAAAAGAGCATCTAAAAGTTTCTGTTCCCTTGGCTACCAGAAACACAAATATTTACAAACAAATGGCAGCTGAATTTTCAAACACATTTAATATTGTACCTCCGTTAACTGGATATCAAATTCAATCTAAAATTAGTAATTTGAGGGAACAATTTAGTTATGTTACATACCTAAATTGTACATACTATGTAAATATTCTACATTTAATGTTTGATACCTTACTGAAATACTGAAAGTATTTTACAAAACTAACACTGTGTAATAATATCTAATTGTAATTTAGTTTGTAACTGAGTGTTATATTAAAAATTACTTAAATCTTATTCAGTATTGAAGATTTACAGCTCGTTGATAATTATTTTGTTAATAATTCGTTATTTTATTATTCGTTAATAATTCGTTAATTTTGTTAATAATTATTTCGTTAATAATAATTTGTCCATTTAAAGTTACTTGATTAATGTTATACGGTGTTAATGATGTGCTTATATTTACTTATATTTATGTATATTTTTCATAGACGAGAAAAAATTCAAGTTGATTCATCGGGAGGAGCTCCTAGTAAATGGTGGCCTTACGATATTGTTGCCAAAATAATAGGTAGTGAAGCTTCCCTTGATAATGACCTTTTATCTCAAAGTCAAAACTTTTCTACTCAAGATTTTCAAGATGGTCAGGTAAGTTTAGTGTAATTTATTGTTGTATATTTTAAAGTGCTATATATTTTTTAAAGTAATATAAACAAGCATGTTAACTATTTCTACAAAATAAGGTTTAAGAGGTTCTTAGTTTTGCAACATTTAGCAGACTTAAAACATAAAGATCAAAAACATATAATATAAAGTTTTTGAATTGTAAAAGGGATCTTTTAATATTGGCTAGATCAATTTGTAAAATGCTATTGTCTAAATAGATACTTTTTGTTTAGGGAAGGAAGGGAGTAAAATGACTTCAAGTCAAGTCTTTTAAAGTCAAGAGATAAATTTTGATTGAAACATGATTTATAATCATTTCTCAAATGTGTAATTTTTTTAATGTGTATATTTTATTTACAGGTTGCACAATGGAAGATGGCAAGGAGACAGTATTTTAAATATTGAAGCTTTTGATGATACAAATGATGAGCAATCAATTGTCACTATTCCTGATGAGGAACCAACTCGATCTACATCAGGCTGCAATAAACGAAGGAACTCTGATGATGAAAAAACTTTGAATAAAATAGCAAAAACTGAACCGGTGAGAAAAAATAAAAAAACAAATTTTTCTTCTGATTATTTAAAAATAGCAAATAAAAATCTAGATGTTCAAATCCGTTCACAAGAGCTACGAATCAGAGAGGTTGTTGCTTTAGAGCGTATTTGCGATGGAATTGAAAATGCATCTAAAGCCCAAGTAGATGTGTCTAAAGCCCAAGTAGAATATTATAAATTTTTAATAAAAAAATAAGGTGTTCTATTACTCAAGATATCTTTTTAGTAATTATGTTAAAGTCAGTAAAGTCAGTTTTTAGTAATTATGTTAAGGTCAGTATTTTTTCAACAGTATACTTTGTTTACAATTCTATGCAATATATATTTCATAAGGTTTTTCAATGTTTTAACTAAAGAGATGGCTAGTGAAATATTGTACAAGCTTTTAGATGAAGCTCTACTTATATATATTTTTTCATGTTACCATATTACTATTATCAAAGGAATTTTTACTTTTTTTTATGTAAAATAAAAATGTTTTGTGATTTCAAGCATTAAAATGCATATCTGGTGGTATTTTTTAAATTTGTCATGTTATTTTATAAACACCTTTTTTTGTATCTCTATGCTATATATATTTAGTATTTTTACCAAATAATTTTATTTTGCGGTATGAAGCAAGCCTGTAGATGAATTATAGTGATATGTTTTTTGCCAACATGTTTTGTTTTTAATTTATACAAATTGCATTACATGTTTCATTTTTGTTTTTGTTAACAGATCATGCTGTATCAATTCTAACAAAATAGTTTTTAAAAATGTGTTTTAATTTCCCTTGAATTGTAATATAATAAGTAATATATTTATTTAATATATTTATATAGTTTTAATAGCATTTTAGGGAGACATCTGAAAAGGAAAAAGCTATTGGAAAAACATGGAAAGCGTTTTGGCCGTACTTCGATCAAAAAGTAGAACATTAATCAATGATGAATCAATCACCCACCCATTTTCATATTTAGATTTAGCTTCCTTTAAGTTAAATCAACAAGTATCTGATTGAAAGAAAAGTTTGGGTTAGACCGAAAAGTTCTCAATGGTTTATGAGATTTTTACTCAAATGGAGGAATGTGAATTTAAAGAGTATTTTCGAGTAAATCGTAACACATTTAATTTCCCAGTTAATGAATTGCATCCACATTTAGGCAAAACTACCACAACTATGCGAGAACCTATTTCAGTAGTAAAACGTGTTGCAGTTGCATTACATTATCTAGCTTCATGTGAAGAGTATCGTGCTGTGTCTAGCCTTTTTGGCATAGGAAAGTCAACAGCAAATTTAATTGTTCATGAATTTATAAATGCTGTTAATGACATTTTGCTCCCTAAATATGTTAAATTTCCATTGTCAGTGGAAATTTTAAATAAACATAGTATAGATTTCGAAGCTATTCTTGGTTTTCCACAATGCGTTGGAGCTGTTGATGGATGCCACATCCCTATTTCAGCCCCTAAAGATCAAGCAATTTCTTATTATAATTATAAAGGGTGGTATTCCATTGTACTTTTTGCCGTTGTAGATTGTCGATACCGTTTCATTTATACAAGTGTTGGATTGCCTGGTAGAAATAATGACAGCTATATTTTGCAGAATTCTTCTTTGAAAACAATTTTAGAATCAAATCTATTTGATAAATGTTGTAAAGAGCTGGGCGATTCTCTTGTTCCGCTATGTTTGATAGGTGATTCAGCATTTCCTTTAACGCGTCATTTGTTAAAACCTTATCCTGAAAATTTGGAGCCTAGTGAAATTCAAAAAAATTTCAATAAAATACTTTGCGGAGCTAGAAGAGTTGAGAATGCTTTTGGGTGCGTTAAAGCTCGATTCCGTGTAATTTGCAAACGTATGGAATGCGATATTAACTTTGCTACAAAAATTGTTAATGCTTGCGTCACTCTTCACAACATTTGTGAATATTATGACGATATTATTATAATAGAATGGCTTATGCATCATCGTGATGACAGTCTAGCTCAACCCAATACAGTTTCTACAACTGGGAACAATGGACCAGGAAAAAATGTTCGTGACTCAATTACTAAATACCTTTATGAAAGGGACAAGTAAAGTAATATAATATTATTTATTATTTAAAACTTTAGCTGTAATATTATTGTCTAACTCTGAGCTAGCTGAACCCTCAGCGTTATTTGCATTTAGTTTTACCTCTCATAAATGAAAAAATATTAAAAATTAATAAAATATATTAACAATGTGTATTTGCTAAACTGTTTGTCACTAATTTTTATTCGAGTTTTACTTACCGTTTTTTACTCGTTTTTTCTTTTATGTACCTTCAAGCCAATTTTGCATGTGAACGCTACAAGTAACATTTTGTGGAACATTTTGTTCCAGGAACATTTGTTCCGGAATAATGTTCCGCCGAACATCGCTAGTGTGAACATGGTATTAGCGACTTCACGACCACTGCAACCGCAATGTCCAACCACAAAAAAATTCTAATGCGCATGTGTAAGCTTAGGGTAAGTCCCGATTCGCGTTTCAAAGTTCTAGGCCGGACGTTAAAACTAAAGTTTCAGCGTTGTGTTGACAACGTGAAATGATTATGAAAACGTTAACATTTTTTCGCAATAAACTTTGGCACTAAGTTTGTTTTTGTTTTGTGTGGTAAATTTTATATCGATATAAGCTGATATATCAGCTGTGTGTGTGTAATTCAATAGTAAGAGCTTCGGATATATATATATATATATATATATATATATATATATATATATATATATATATATATATATATATATATATATATATATAATATGTATATATATATATATAAATACATAATATATATATATATATATATATATATATATATATATATATAATATATGTATATATATATATATATATATATATATATATATATATATATATATATATATATATATATATATATATATATATATATATATGTTACGAAAAAAACACATCTAAACTTCTTTTTTGTATTTATGTCAATAAGTTTTTGAAAGAGAAAGTGTTGAATATATTATATACATTAAATAAAATAAAATATATCAAAACAAATTAAAATGAGCAAAGCTGAAGTTGTATCAATGGTTATGATGAGAGAGCTTCTAAACCTACAAAAAGAAACAATCTTGTCATTCTTTACAGAAACAGTTAACACGATAAATTTAAAATTTGAATCAGTTCAAAAAAACATTCAAGACGTAGAAAAGGATCTTGATGATATCAAAGCTGGCCTAACATTTGTTGGTGATGTCTGCGACGATAAGGTTAAAAAAGTAAATGAAAAAATTGATAAAGGTAAAGAAGAGTTATCCAGCGTAAAGATAATACAGGGTAAAATTTCAACTGACAACAACGATCTAAAATTAAAATCTGTTGACATAGAAGATCGAAATTGAAAAAACAACTTGCGTATTGATGGTTTATCTGAGAGTAGCGATGAAAAAGATTGGGAATAAACTAAAGAAAAAGTAAATAAACTCTTTGCTGAAAATCTGAACATCAAACGAGAAGTCAAAATTGAACGAGCACACAGAGTTGGAGTTTTGAACAATAATCGTGAACAAACAATTGTGTTGAAACTGCACAACTACGAGGACAAAAAAATGATCACTGATAACGCATCGAAGCTTAAAGGTACCAATATTTTTATTAATGAAGATTTTTGTAACACTACTCGAAAAATTCGAAAAGATTTATTTGCTAAGGCGAAAATTCATAGACAAAACGGTTTTTATGCTAAAGTTATTTATAATAAACTAATTGTCCATGAATTCCGACAAAATAAATGTGCAAGCACAGAAAATGTAATACCTCGGGATAAATAATTTATAAATATATTTATAGGTAAATTCTTATATACTTACTTCTAAATGGATTCGAATAATATTTTTCAACAAGGTTTTGAAAATATAATTTTTGACCATTTTGAAGACAATTTTAAAAATATCACAAATATTTTTCAAGAAACTCAAAGGAATTTAATGAAAACACCGAATTTTGATCCTTATGAATTTAAGGAAAAAAAAGAAACAAATTCATTTTCTATATTACAAATAAATATTAGGAGCATAAACCAAAACTTTGACAAGTTTAAAGAATTCTTAAATATTATAAATTAGGATAAAGCGGGGCATTAAGCTCCATGTTTTTAAAGAACTTTCATTTCTTTTATTTGAAATAAAAAAAATGTTAAATTTAAACTGAAAATGTTTTAAGTAATAGACAACACATATTTTTTTAAGTACAACTCTTTAATCAGAAATATTTATAATCTTACTGTGAAAAAAAAACTAAAAAGTTACAACTAACAATGACTCAAGATTTAAAAAATGGGGGCAATAAGCTCCAGATGTTAAACATTTATTTTCACATTGTTTGTAAGCAAATCTCACAGATCCATTCCACGGCTTCAATATCAGCCTCATCTGGGGCTGATATTAAAACAATCGAATACCAGTCAAGGAATATCAGCCATTCAGTATCAGCCCCATCCTCGCACTCTCCTTAAAAGAGCCTTTTTATCAACTCCATAGTGAAAGAAAGCATGGTTGGCAGACTTTTGCTTGCCTGTAGGCATCTATCATTGCCTGGCTAGTTGCATATAACTTCCTTCCTAGCTCCTCTTCCTTTTTATATGTTTGAACCATTTTGCTAAACAACTGTTAAGCAAAATTTTTCCCTCTTTGTACAAAGGGGGTAATAAGCTCTATTGTCAAAACTATATTTAAAACAGTATTAAACTATTTCTAAAAATAAGTAACTTTTGTTTTCAATTTAAACTATATCTGTGTAATGTTTAAATAATTAAAACATTGATTTTATTTATCTAATCAATTTTATTCAGTTGTTTTAATCACCTTTTTGTCATTTGGGGGCATTAAGCCCATGCTAATTAAAACATCAATTTTTATAAATTAATTAAACTAATTTATAATCAAGAAAATCATATTTCTCTTAGAAATGCTCTCTATTCAAAATATTTAATAGAAATTTAGTATTAAAGTGAATTTTAGAGTTATTTATAAACAATGTCTTAGACATTCTTTTAACCGCCATTTTATTTTGCTAAAATTGATACCTTAATTTGCTCTAGAAATATTAGTATTTTACTTCATTAGTTACATACACAGATAGTTATAAAGTTGAAAATACAACTTACTAAGTTTATATTTACTTGTATTGTTAGTCAAAACAAACACACGTTTTTATGCACTTGTATTTCAAGTCAATAACAAACACGCGCTAATTTAACGGAAGTTTTTCAACAAGTTTGAAGGAAACGGAAAACATGATGAAAAAATCACTCATCTATAAATTCACTCAATGTAGATAAAACAAAATATACTTTATTTCATAAAAAATCACAAGATGAAAAACTTTCTTTAAAATAACCTGATTTGATTTTAAATGATGTACTAATTAGTAAAATACATTGTTTCATATACTATGCCTAATACATTGTTTCATATACTATGCCAATATCATATGGGCTAGTACTCAACCAACAAAACTTAAAAAAATATTTTCTTTACAAAAACATGCATGCAGACTTATATATATATAAAAAAATATGAACATGCAAAACCATTAATAGAAGACAGGAAAATGATGAATATATATGAAATCAACATTTACCAACACCTAATTTTTATGTATAAATGTAATAACAGCTTAATTCCAAAAAACTATAATAATAAATTTACAATAAATGTAAACCAAAAATATTCTCTTAGAATAAACCAATGGAATACTTATAAATTACCAAGAATTAATAGTAAGTGTTCTGAATATGGAATATCATACCGTGGACCAAAACTATGGAACACTTTTCAAAAAACAAAAAATTTAAATACTGTAAAATCATTAAATTCCTTTAAGTTTATAATAAAAAATGAATTTTTTAAATTAGATAAATAGTTTTCTTAATTTTTTGAAATTAAAAACGAGTTCCATTATTCTTAGTTTTTTTACTTGTTAATTGGCTCTTATTTTGATACTTAACAGAGTTGCCAAAGTATTTTAATGAATATTGATAAAACTATATGATGTTATTTACTTTCTTGATTTGATAGAAATATTTATGCAAGCTTTAACCTTTTTATTATATTGGAGATTCTATATTTTTTTTAACTTGTAAATGTATTCTTTAATATAACAAGTTTATACGTATATAACTTCCCAGCGGGCACGGCAACGTCCATATGACGTCAAAAGGACGTCTTTTTAGGACGTCCGTAACTGGTTCTAACCGGCAACGCCAGATGACGTCTTTTTAAGACGTAATTAGGACGTCTTTTTAGGACAAAATAAAGACGTGTTTTTAGACGTCGTAAAGACGTAAATTTAGGTCGTTCAGAACTAGTGCTAAATGGAAACGCCAAATGACGTCTTTAAATAACCTAATTTAGACGTTCTCATTTCGACGTCTAAAATACGTGTTTTTACATGGCTTTACTTAAACGTAAGGTTCAAATTTATGCTTTCACAGAACTTCTTGAGAATAAGAAAAAAACAATAAATCGTTTAAATTTTATAATAATATAATTGTGCTGAGTTTTATAAATAACAATTTTGTAAACTTATTCTTCCACTTGTTAATTTCCAAGAATTGAATGTTCGAACAGTTGACATCATTCACCTTCTTTTCGATCAGGTGCACTCTTTAAAATATTGCTACCAGCATTTTGAACTTTTTTTTTGCAGTAGGAATCAGGAAAGCAGTCTTAACCTTAAAAAAATATTGTCAAGATAAGTATGTTAAAGTAAAGGGGAAATAAATAACACACACACACACATATATATAACAATTATTTTATAAACATAACATCAAACATCAAAAAATGCGAATTTCTCAACACTAAATTGATTTTTTTAAAGTAATTTTTGACTGGATTGTTGTGACTAGCGTATATATTTATGTATATCAAGTATGTAATATAAATGCAGTGCATTTGAGAAGGGCATGCTTTCAAAGTAATTTGAAAGCATGCCCTTCTCAAATGCACTGCATGATAAGCCACCAACATTTAATAACTTCTATTTCTAAATTCAAAAGATAACACTAGAGTAAT